CTCTAGCTCCATTCTATCTTTGTTGTGTGCTTTCTTGATTTTCGTTTGAGACCTCCATTTGTATGTATTTGAACGCAGCTTCTGTTTCCTATTTAAGAGTTTAGTTGATACGTTAAAAATCTTAACCTCACATAATAATTAACAATTCGTTCATTTTGCTTATAGTAACGGAGCAAAGGGGATTATATCAAGGTATAGTGCAACAACTGAAGACGTCATTACTAATAACGAATAGAGCAAATGGTAATCTATATTAACTTGTGTTTCCTTTTTTTTAAAATCAGCTTTATCCGAATGTAATGATATGAATATATAGTTTACACATTTTGAGGGTCTGACGTTGTGAATATTGTTGTCTGATGAAGGCGATACCAACGATTTGCCAGTTAACTCGTTATTTCGAGAATTATGAAAGTTTACTGGAGTCGAGAAACGAAAACAAATGTTTAGTCGAATGACCCATATTGTAGAAGAAATGGCCTTATCAGAAGAAAAAAAATTATCTTTATTACAAGCAACTGAAAGACGTTAAGAGGTAGTCAAATTACTTGTCTTTCCCAAAGCAGGGGAATATATGTAAAGCAACATGGCGCCAAATGGGTGTCATTGGAATAACCTTATTCTAACATAATCAAATACATGTTAGACCTCGTCCTTGCGAAGAACACAATCAGAAAGGGGTTATGTATTTCATGCCACACGGGTGGCTTGCATTATTTTGAGACAGTACTGTTCGCCCGGGATGTTTATTGAGATGGACGGGGCGATGGGTTTGCGATAGGGCTAGTATCCCGCTGGAATGATAGGAATGTCCGATAGACTTATTTGGAGTGCACAAGCGGACAGGGGGAGATCTATCTTTATGTTCATCGGTCGGTTAGCGAGGAGGGCTGCGGACAGATAGGGGGATGGCAAACGTGCCACCCGATGGCGCTAAGGAGGGGGAGGGGATATGCTCTGGAATATATTGTTGGCTGAAAGTCTGGAGGTGGATTAGGTCGTTGATTGTATTTCAGTCATGATCCCCTGATATCAATCAAGTCGAGAATACATTTTTTTTCCTGGCTTATAAACGAACACTATCCGTTACATATTTGTAACGCATCTCAACCTACATTATAATTTAGTATCGGTTGTAAAATAGTTGCTTGAAGTTTTTTGATTTTTTTTTTAGAGGAAATTTAATCATGAAGCATACACGCAGTAATATAGTGGGGTCTAACCATTGAGGAGGTATACTGGTGTCACTCGTGGTATCACATTAATACTATGCGCAATTAGAAGAATGGCATCGAGGAAGGGGATGGATGGGAGGTATCGTGTTCTTTTTACGTTACCTTATCTTTTCAGTCTTTTTCTTTCTCTTACCACCTCCACTTTCCTCCCACCCCGAACCCCTTCACTCTCTCTCTCTCTCTCTCTCTCCCCCCTCCCCTCCCCTCTCTCTTTCTGTCTCTCTCTACTTTTTTTTATTTTCCATCAGTCAATTAGGGACACATGCCGCCCCCATCCCCATATTGGCTAAGCCGTGGTGTGAAGGTATTTTAAGTTTTCAGACACACTTCGCTCTCAGGGCTTATATTCTAGACTGATTCTGCTCATTTTAAAGGTTGAATTTATTTTTGCATTCGCCAATTATCTAAAACTTTGGACTATACCTGCATGCATAAATGATTCTTGTCTTTCTATCTTATTGTCTATTTCATGTTTATCCATGTGCCCTTCTACAACATACTAAGAGTCAGGTAACAAAGACAAATTAATTTTTGAACCTCTTTTTAGCCCATGCAGGTAAGGACACGGATTGATTGAAGACAAAGTCCCTCACGTTCAAGAATTTCATTAATCTACATGAGAAGAGAGATACCATTGAAAAAATAACTATCAGGAATAAAAAATTAAAAAAATAAGCCACCATTAGTATATAGGCCTCAATGCAGTTCGGTTCATTGCAAAAGGGGGATATTTATTGTAAGATTAGTGGCATATTTGCCATAGAGTGAAGCCTGCGTATACAGGCACCCCCCCCCCCCCCCCCATCAGAACACAAACGCAATTGACCTTCAGCAGCCCCCAGCATCGCCCCCACTGGTCTGGGAGGGAGGATTGCATCCTGATATCAGTTTGGATAGGTCAGTGTATAGGCTTATATGCATGTGAAACCCAATACGAAGAGTGGGTGAAGAAGATGGATTAGCTTGTTAATATATGGCGTCTATACAGTGCATGTAATAGAGTCCGTGCGTCGAGTTAGTCTGTGTCTCTCTCCATTGAGGATGATAAGAGTGAAAGTAACCATGACTGATGAAAAACGACAAAAGAAGTAGTGTGTATTTGTTAAGGATCTGCATTAAAACTATGTTAAACAAATTAATCCAGCTTAAACTTGAACTGTCAAAAACGTTTTACCAATTCCAACTAGACAAATACGTACATCGATAAATGGAATGATTCTATTCACGAAGAAAAAGATACAATTGTCAGTTTCATTATGTAACACTAACGATTACTCTTCAACGTTTCAGATAAAGTTATAATTAATAGACATGAATACAACTATTATGTTTGTTTATTAGTTATTAATGTTAGTTCTATATAGTTGTGGTCAAAATTTGATGTTGGGCTATGCATCAAATGAAAATAAAACATGTTAAATTAAATGTGATATAACACGTGACTAAATTTGTATAAATGTTTTAATCTTGATATTATATCGTGATAGATTGTCATCATGACATTGGAAGTTTATCAAGCTACTGCGACATACCAAAAACATTTACAGTCACCAAACCCCCTCCTCCCTCCCCCTACCCATTAAATGTTTCATTTTTTTTTCCTATGTTAACCATCATCCTTACATATGGGCATTCAACACTGTGTATATGATAATTCATACTGCATTTCGATCATTCATGTGTTCATGGGTAGTGGGATACATGCCAACAATCCTCTTTTCACGTAATCTTTTTACTGTGAATGGAAGGCTGTCACGATGCCAGGTATTTCTGGGGGAGTTAATGTGGGAAGTGCGAATTTTGTTATAGAAAAGTATAAACGTCAAATTATGAAACTATGAATTCCTTTAGTGACATTTAATCTTTTTTTTTCTTCTTCAGTTTCGCTCTAAGATTGTATTCATTTTCCCTATTCCATTCTTTCAAAATAGCTATTGTTGGAATAATTTTGATAAACCTGATATCTAATCATGTCACGATAGTTAGAAAGAGGAATTCGCTCGGTTTTGACCGCTGCTATCATTCGCGGGGATAAACCATCTGTCCCTATGTATCAGTAAGGTATGTAGTCCCATGCATAATGATATCTGTAAAATCAATTAAAAGCAGTTCTAACACAACAAGATATGCATGGAATGTGACCGGGTGTACAATCTAGCCCCGCCAAAAAGCGCCCTCGGAGCTAGTCTGAATATATCTGATTGATAATCGCTCCCCGAGGTGCTATCATTAAAACTCTCTTCCGAGCTATCTTCACAAGACGAGAGAGCCTGCGTGATGGTATTTTACTCCATAAAACAAATAAAAACGAATGGCTGGCTGTTGAGATAAAGCGAGTACTCTTTCAAGTTAAAGTAAATTTGTTTCGCAATGAGCAATCCATTTGTAGTTGAAGCATTGGAGTGTGTTTTTGTAATTTGTGGAAGAGTACACGACGCCATACTATGCATGTGTAATAATTCATTATTTCACCCGCCCCTTCATAGCTCTCTCTCTCTCTCTCTCTCTCTCTCTCTCTCTTCTCTCTCTCCCACTCTATTTCTTTGTCTTTCGTTCTATCTCTCACTTTATCGTTTTTCCTTCTAAGATGGTTTGTCCTTTTTGCAGACCTAAAGATCGGATATGCCATGAATCCAGTGGTATATTGAAAGGCATATTATTAGGAACCTCCAACCTAATTAACCGAAAAATGAATAATTTTGAATGTTCAATTCCTGATATTTATTTTCTAGACTCAAAAATATTCGTACGTAAATAGAAATTAATTCGACTATTATATTAGTCCATAATCTGGCCAGTTCCTTTTCCCTACACACTTGATTCAAGCCGCCGAAGATGGCGTTATGAACGAACTCCACCAGCCCAGCCTGAGGACATATTTGTTTTCGCCGGGCGTCCTAATTTAGTGATCACGCCATCTTCGGCTGGTAGCAAGCAAATAGGGGGAGGAAGCGTTGTTGTATTTTCTGGAGGCCGAGGAGTTCAAACATAAATAGGTCAGATTCTGGACTTCTGTTATATCTGTTGATTTGAGAATAGCTCCCTCTTCAGCAAACACCGCTAGATTTGCATTACTTGCGAAGAACTTTAAAAACGTACAACTGTAAAATTTCCCGAAAATTCATACACGATATCTGAAGGATATATATCAAACATTCACCAAGTTTCATGGAGTTAGCACAAATCTGCAAAAGGGGCATACTGCCTCTAAGCATTTTAAAGCCCTTCATCGAGCCAAGAACCAATTATGTCTCTCCTAGGCTCAACATCCCCCCCCCCCATCTCCTTTCTCACCAATCACCTCTTTCTACATACTCCCCCCCCCCCCTTTTTTTTTCTTCTTTCTTCTTCTTTTCTGTCTGTTTGTCTTTCTCTGTGTCTCTCTCCTTTTTCTTTCTGTCTTTCTCTCTCTCTCTCTGAGATTATTAAATATTTCCCAAAGTCCATGGCACATGTAATATCTGAAAGACCCTCTCATGCTTGAAGAATATCATCATGTATACACATACATCCATCTCACAACTGCCATCTTATACAAATTCTGTTTGGCCCCACATTATATCACTGCTTTACATCTCCACCCCCCCCCCCTCCCCTCTCCCCTCGAGGCTTTATGAGCTTGTAAACACTATATGCTGGCAGTGGGCACAGTCTTGCTCTGAACAAGAAGTTACTTGCTCTGAATATACAAACAGAACAAACCTCATCTTCCTTTCATCCATCCAACATAAACCACATGCTTCTACATCAAGAGTACATACATGATTTTATTTAGTAGCAGGAAGGTTTATTAGCAATTTAAAATATTGGATGCACATTCAACACACAAAGGATTTACAATGATGTGTATAGGATTTTCAACTTGTGAAAATTGTTATATTCGACTACAACTTGTAAATGAAGTCTACTTGCACAAAAACACTGTAATTAGTTTCAATGAATGGCTATATAACTCAAAACTGATTACATCTGATATACATGTAGTAGAATGCTTAATTGTTCCCTAACCCAATGTTTGCAGCCTAAATAAAACTCTATCCCTTTCAAAAAGTCTAATTGAGAGTGATGAATATCTTAATTTGAAATCAAACACTCACAATTAAGTGATACAACTCTTCAAGCTACGGTGCACATGATTCCTTTTCAACTCAAATCCTGTTTCAACATCATGACAAATTAATTGAATAACACTCCTACATATGTCAAGAGCAATCGAATATGGATAGTGATTGAATAAATTAATCATTTACACCTAATACAAAATGATGCAAAAATAAAATAACAAGAAGGACAATTACAAAATATATCTCAATGAAACATCTAGCAATACACTACTTCAAGACTTACTACTAACGACATGTACAGAAGAAATGTTCATCCATCGCCACATCTAAAAATGAGACTTTAACACAAGAGTTCTTTTTACTTTTTTGTTAGTTTTTGTGGCTTACACCCACTACTGTAGAACGTCCAGCAGCTAGACCAGACACACAAGTAATTATGATTTTTATCCTATATCCCCCATAAGACTTTAACATATCACAAACAGCCTTGCTCTACCAGGCAATTTCTTTAAAAATCCCCTTTATCAGAACAGGTTACAATTACTGATTGAATCTGTTATAAAACATACATGTATTTACAAAACAAAACCTCCATATTTAGTGTAATCAAGAGCAATGAAGAGCCTGTTTGCTACAAAGGACAACAAGTAAATCTCAGCAAGGTCACAGTGATACTATATACAGTTAGAAAACATGGATAGAGCTCAAACAATATGGCTTTGGTAACAACGGTCTGATGTACTTTATCACGTTTTCAATATTTTGAAAGCCAGCTTTAGACATTTAAATGAACATTTACAATAACGAGACGGAAGTGCAAGTAGAATTGTTGAGTTTGCTTTTCCACATCAAGGAAAATAAGGATATATGATATCTACACTTGTACATCACATGATTGAAAGCAAGTGTAAAGGAAAGAGTGGGGAGTAAATCAGAATCCAGCACATTAGTAGGTACTCTTTCTTCATTGTAATAAACATTGAGGAGGGCAAGGGGCTGTCACTAGAATATATACAAGGTGAAGTCTCTTTGATTGAGTTTGGGGTGTGAAGTAGCCCCCCTCAGCGTTCCTCTATTCTGTTCCAGCACCCTCTGTGCCACCTGTCTCCATACTGGTAGTGGTATCGCCTTCCTTCTTATCTTTCTTGCCCTCTGCTGTCACAAAATAAAGAAATATTTATTAATATAAAATATTCAATATAAAAGTGTATAGATTCTTAAAAAGAGGTTAACATTTAGAAGAACCCTCTAAAACTTAGTACCATATCAATCTTGTGGCAACTTTTCATTTCAATATTTTATTTAAATTGTATTCATTTCAAGAATAATTTTAAAGACTTAGATTTTCCTTATACCTGATTGCTCACTTAGAAAGCGTAAGCTGGGATAAAGTATTTCCAAATCACGTATTTATCTTTCCTCTATTACAATGACTTGATCAAAGCAATGAAATGAAATAATCTCATCACAATTAAATTTAAATTAGATATCATTGTTCTAAATGTATTGCCCCTTTTCACATGTTTGTTCATGGCTTATTCCTTGTTGCTGCCATACATGATGGCCCTCGCAAAATCAACTCTTTTCATCATTACATGCACATAAAATATCTGTAAGTTGATAAACACTGTCGATTCATATTAGAATTCTCTGAATGTCCTATATTATCCAACTACCCATGAAATAGATGACACTCACCATCTCCATTCTCGCCACCCTCTGAATCCTCCATGCGACGCTTGCGGTTGTTACGTCGGTTGCGGTTGAAGTTGCGATTCTGGGAATACATGGGCTCCATGGCCAACACCTTGTGGACTTGACGGAACACGATCAGTCGCAGTGCATGCTGGGAATGGAAGATATGATGATATTACAATATAGTAATAACTAAATTCAGTTATACTAGATGTTAGTGGGAGATAGAGGAGCAGGTAACCAGGGCCCCGTTTCATAAAACTTGTTGTCGATAACGAATGCTAAATTTCTATGACAAATTTGCTCTCAATCAATCAAATGCCACAATTTCAGTAGCTTATAACAGTTATCGTAGCTTTGTTATTGATAACCAGTTTTATGACAAAGGGACCTAGTCTAGAAGAAAATAAATATCGCATCATCTGTAGGGAGCCAGAAGGGATGAAGTGAGTTTTGAATGATAGAAGTCAGCATCCTGCCAGTCTGAGCAGATAAAATGGCCAGAGATTTGGTTTTCAATGGCATTCTTGCATTTTATTATAAGCCCAAAAGAACTGCATTCATGTCACAAACATCTTCTAGGTAATGAATGTCATGGTTTGGAGGTATAACAGTGATTTATTAAGTTTCATGTATATGTTTGTATGAACAGTACAAATCAAAATGAGGTAGAGTAGTACAAATTAGGACAGTCTATTTAATCCTGTAGTGAAATTAGTAGATGTACTTCCAGAGCCTTCTCATCACTAACTGACATACATGTAAGAATGGCTCTAGAGGCATTGGGGATTCTTAATATCTGCAAACGGGAAGCCAATCAGTGATGATAGAAGCATCAGTCTTGGAGCAAGTTTGCAAATAATTGTTTTCCTTGATAAATGTACTACTTGGGCGATAAAAAGGTCCTTGATGAGTGGTTCATTGATACCGAGGTAACTTGGAAGATATGTGCCATCTCATTAAACCTGCTTTAAAGGGATAGACCAGTTCTGGTCATGCGATTGCATTGTGAAAGAAACGTTGTGGAATCGATCAGAAAAGGTTGATCATCTAGCATATAAGTATTGGTGTGTACTGCAAGGTTCTGGAATCATCAAAATGATAAAAAACTAGATGGAATTTTGACTGCGCGCAGTCGAAAATGATGCCTCCGCCATAGAGCAATTTAAACAAGTTTGGACTTTAAATCTCCAGTGGTTCTTGAGATATCATGATAACAATCTCAATGTATGGAATTTCATAAGTTGACCTCTGTGACCCTTGACCTTTGACCTACGTGCTCCAAAATCTAATCAGATTGTCTTCCTATGGTGATACACACTATCATTAAGTTTGAAGTTTAAATCTCCAGTGGTTCTTGAGATATTATGATATGGTGATACATACTATCATTAAGTTTGAAGTGAAAATTCTCCAGTGGTTCTTGAGATATCGCGATAACGATCTCAATGTATGGAATTTCATAAGTTGACCTCTGTGACCCTTGACCTTTGACCTACGTGCTCCAAAATCTACTCAGATTGTCTTCCTATGGTGATACACACTATCATTTAGTTTGAAGTTTAAATCTCCAGTGGTTCTTGAGATATTATGATAACAATCTCAATGTATGGAATTTCATAAGTTGACCTCTGTGACCCTTGACCTTTGACCTACGTGCTCCAAAATCTAATCAGATCGTCTTCCTATAGTGATACACACTATCACTAAGTTTGAAGTTTAAATCTCAAATGGTTCTTGAGATATCGCGCTAACAAACTCAATACAAGGAATTTCATAAGTTGACCTCTGTGACCTGTGACCTTTGACCTACGTACTCCAAAATCTAATCAGATCGTCTTCCTATGGTGATAAATACTATTCCCGAGTCTTAAGTTTAAATCTTAAATGGTTCTTGAGATATTGTGATAACGGTCAAACGGGACGGACGTATGGACGTACGGACGGACAACCCGAAAACATGATGCCTCCGGCACCACCTTCGGTGGCGGAGGCATAAAAATTGGCCCAGTCTTGGTAAAGACAAAGTAACAAGTACTGTACACAGAAATATGTATATGGGACTACACGACCACGTGGCATAAAAATCTGTCCTGATTTTTACGATGTTACATGCCATATTCAGAATATGAAGGCATTTGAAGAGCCATGCTTTCAGGGAACATGTGTTATCTGATGTTCTTCCACCCTTACATAATAACAATGATAACACTCACAAATTATTGTTCACCTCTTCCCAGAACTCAACCTTCTCTTTAAACCTGCTTTAACCATTGCTTACCTGTGCACTAGCTGTTATGTCTTCACATTCTTGAGGGGCTAGGTGAGCCAAGGCATCAGCTTCATCCTTCTCACATGGATCAAATAATCCGGGTCCTCCTATGATCATCAAAACAAGTGGCAAACATTCAGTTGAGTTGCTAGATGCATGTCTTATTCAAGTATTAATTAAAATAGAGGGTAGGTACATTCAGTACATGTCATTAATATTTATTGAACATTAGTCGTACTGTGCAAATGATTCAGTATTGCTTACAATGTGCTCATAGTCAAAGACAAGTGTAAATACACAATTTAAGTTACTACTTCATCACATTTGATCACATATCAAAGCATTGGTCCCTACATGAAATCTTGAACAATAAATACATTAACTTTGTGCAGTCTATACTACCAATAGTAGATGTACTTCCAAAGCCTTCTCATCACATAACTGATGTACATGTAAGAATGGCTCTCGAGGCATTGGGGATTCTTAATATCTGCAAACGGGAAGCCAATCAGTGATGATAGAAGCATCAGTCTTGGAGCAAGTTTGCAATTTTTTTTAAAAATTCTTTAAAAAAAAAGGTGTAATATTCAGACGATAAAAAGGTCCTTGATGTGTGATTTAGTAAAAGAATAAAAGATAATTAGTAGCATCACATCCCATAATGCTGTGGTAACTTTAAAGATATGCGCCATGTCATTGACTGGCAAATTGAATAATTTAACATATGTTTGATGTAATTAAAATGGTGTAATTCTCCATACTAGCCATATGATTTAGTTGTGTTGAAAATTTCTGTCTGTTGTTGATCTGAAGCAGTTCTAATTTCCTACAAAATTTAATATTACATCATGACTGATTACCTCACCATACTTGTAAACTACGTTTAAGTTTTGAAGGAGTAAGTAAAGTCATTGATGATACGTACCATCAATTCATCTCAATACAAATGTTCTCAAAATGTCAATCTCAGATACTGCAATATTTCAATATCATGTTTAAAAAGAACAAGATTATGAAGAAAAATGATAAAAAAAGAAAGAAAAGAAAAGGTTGAAGGGTAAAGAAAAACAAATCTCTGTCATACCTGGCAGGAGCAGACCTCCAGCGACGGCTTCAAAGACTCGTCTTAGAGCATCCCCAGGGCTGAGGGGCTGACCAGCACTAGCAATCACCCTCTCACAAAGCAGCTCCAGAGGCTAATGTAGAATAGATTAATACAATGCGGAGCTTTATCATTTTCTTCAAAATCTCAGAAAGGTATAACACAAGATATTCTAATCCTAGTTTTGTTAAGAGCAAACAATCAAATTAGATATTCCACAAAAATATACCACTTTTGTAATGTAGTTAAAGAATATTCTATCTGCTACTGTTTGCTTTTTTTTTAAAATCTGCACCTTCACCTCTTGACGATCAGCATATTTGCGATGCATTCATATTTTGACGATTCTCAGCACATATGCCTTTATTCAATATCATCATTATTATTATTATTATTAATTTAGCGTCACCTGTGCCTGGGAGGCGAAAAAGCGAACTGAACCACTGTAACCCTCCGATCTCTCCTTCTGGTATAACTGATTGGGGGTGTGCAGGTGGACCACTACACCCGGGTTTCCCCCTACTCTTATACGAATAGTGCAGTGGGTTCTTAACGTGCACAGGTGGTGACTCTCCACAACACGGTGCCTCCATTTAATGTCCTATCCGTGGTGTTACTTAGTAACTTACCCATCCTCGTAGCGGTGCCCAGGTAGGTACACGCTCACAGAGATCCCTTAGAACTCGGATGATGACCACACAGGATTGCAGACCACCAGCTCTAGCCTAAGACGATGAGAGGAGAGATAAAGACACAAACCATCCAATCAGAACGAGTCTTACAACGCTATCAAGGTATCTATCAGGGTAATCATGGTAGTAAATATGATATAATTCTCAATCTAGTTTAACATTACATGCAATACAGGCTGGAATTCACAAAAAGGGTTCATCATAAACCATGGTTTTATCTTCACTAAGCATACATGTAATATGCTTATAGCATCATGTCCAATGAAAAGGCAAATAACGCTCCAAACGTGTGTATTGTAGTAAACGGGAGAAGTTTAAACCATGCCTAAATCCAAGCCACCTTTGTGAATTCCAGCCATTCGGTATGAATGGAGGAGGACTACTTTGCTAGATCAATTAGGGCCTTAGAAGGGTGAACTGTACCACAGAGACCATATCAATGTTTTAAACATTACTGTTTAAGATTGGATTATGTACTTATCTGATATTGGGTGTTAAATGTAATTATTTGATATTGGGGATTAATAAGTTCCTTTGGCATATGGGGTTAACCTTCTTCTTACTCTATATCAAATTACATCAGCAAACTCCATTGATAGAGTTTGCTGATGTATATCAATCTAGTTTTCATATCGTACTGTGTAGTTTGTAAAGGTATAACTACGATAACATCACATGCAGACACAATCATTTGAAATTAATAATACATCAGACATTTACAAGGCTGTTATAATATTTACAAACCTATCCAGATTTTGACGAGACTAAACAAAGAGGAAAACATAAAATAAGAACCTTTTAAGCTAAAATAATTATAATCATACAATTTTTTTGAGGTTAAATAATTTAAGATGAAGGAAGAATTACTATAGGATTCATCATTTTAAATTGCAGACAGCTTTAGGATTGCAAATTTTCAAAGACATACATTTTTTTTCAACAAAAGAAGGATATCCAAATGTTTCGGGCTAGGTTTACATCAATTTCTTTTTCTACCTGAATCTAAACAGTTACAGAGAATCTTTTGTTCAATGTTGCATTAAGGAAACTACACCCACAAAATTGAGAGGAGGAAATGGGACATAGTTGGTAAACAAAATGATTATATTGGGTAACCTCAAAAATTTGTTTTTTTCATGATAGAAGCATAATTATGTCAATTACCTCTAATTTGGTCACACACACACATACAAACTTTGTTTAATGCTTGTTTAACCCTTACTGTACTGGGCTATTTTGAGCACCCTCTGACTGGGGGGGGGGGGGGGGGGGGGGGGCCTGGGAGGCCCCCCCCTATGATCTCGGCCGTCGATTGTCCGATGTACACGAAAATTTGCATGTTTGTAGATATTTACGTAAGGAACAAGATGGTATAATTAGTTTTTTCCGAATATGCAAATTTTTGTTGTTAGCCTAATTAATTATGCAAAATGCGCTAATTTTATGCATTTTACAGAAAAGGTTTCAAACTCCACTTTTTGAATGTTGAAACTCATTATTCATATGAAACTTCTTTTCTAACACAAACAAGTTATTTTAATGTAATTAATAATGATAATTTATGCAAAATTTGATGCGATTTTTAATTTTTTTTTTTTTTTGATGACATGCGCATACTAATTGTTATGTAACGCCTTACAGGTATATCCGATTTCGACGAAAATGGTATCAAAATGTGCGTAAGACTTGAGGGAAAAAAGTCATGAAACGACAATTCAAAATTCCAAGCGGTTGCGACGCAATCTCCGAAAATGTCGAGGGGGGGCCTCCCAGGCCCCCCCCCCAGTACAGTAAGGGTTAATAGGGGAGGGGCAATCACTCAAGTGTCATCATTGATAGCATACAGGGGATAGTTTCTACATTTCAAATGAACTTTAACTTTAGTTTCACATATGAACTAAGGATTTTTGTATTTATCATGGGCAGCAGCATCTGTTTGAACACATATCATTTAAAAAATCCTTTTCTACATATTATCAGGATAGAATTGTTCTAAACTCTCAAATGGGGATTGCTAACGTATCATCTCTCATACATATAGACACACACACAGACGGATGGACAGACAGACCAAATCAATTAGAGAATATGATTATCGAACCTGGAACCACTTAGCATGTCGTAAAGCAGCCAGAGCTTCAAGGCATTTTTGCCTGCAGAGGACGTCCGGAGGATCTCGAGCAGAATCTAAGGCATAACATGGCAAGGATGGGTGTTTGATCATATCAGTGACCCCAGGTCGGACAAGCTGACCCCTTCACCCCTTGACCATACGCCCTCCAACGTAGATCTGGGGTTATCAGGGGTCACAGGGGAGTCGGTCTGGCGGACAAGGCACCCCAGCATGAACCGTGCGCAACACTCATTTTAATAACCTAACAATTTAGGACCAATATCATTTAAGTTATGGTAAAAGAGTATTTTTCTCAATAAATAAAGAAATAAAAGAAAATTAAGTGAGAGCAATTTATACTTCTAATTCTATATTCATTTTAAATTTGGTCTTTTAGTTATATCCACTCAAAATATGCAATATGCAAATGCTTTCAAGTAGACATAGATGTTACGACATTCAGTCATAATCTGCCTAGATAAGTACCTATAGTTCCTCTTGTTTATTATTTGCTGCACAAGGGCTTTTGTTTTAGGACATTTTTCAAGTTAATAATTTAATTTAGAAATTGAAGTTTTAGTTTATCAGATTAGATGAGATTACCCCAAAAAAAATCAATAAAAGAATAAAACTTGAAAAAGCCACATTACAGAAATGAAATGTAAATATTTGCAGTGCAAAATCAAACAAATCTCCTTCTTTGTTTTTTAGCATGAAGACATTGCAAGAGGACCTATAGCAAATGGGGTGAATCTTCTATTCAGCTAATTTCAAAGTTTAAATATGTGAATAATATTTTGATGAAAGCACACTTTTGTCACGCCTTTTGGGGCCATCCTATCGTCCGACTCAACCCTTTAACTTAGACCCAGAGATGATCAAAAATCCTCCACTAGGCTGCCGACCGACCGACCCAATCAACTTCAATAAGCCCTGTGGAATAGAAGGCTTTGCACAGAGAAAACAACTTGGAACACAAAACAAATTGTGGCAAAGAGTTACAAATTCAAATTATTCCCATTCTAGCCAACAGATAATCAAGATCTGATCGAGCAAATAAATTGATGATTGCTCACAACAGTTTTTCTCTCTTTTTTTTTGGTACAAGCCTACATCTGTTTCATTTCATAATTTCTCCGTGCAAACATTAACTTTAAGCCTTCACAAAGGTAAATGATGTTATCTTAAAACAGTAATGATACAAAGTCCACATAAAACTGATTTTACATGATGCTTTGAATATCTGACAAGTTCATTCAACCTTTAAACCTAGCTCCTTATATTTCCATACAATTTGAATATAAAAATGAATTGGTAATGAACTCAGTATCTTGAAATTTAATAGCATCAAACAAAAATGGAATAGGTGGACTTTGTTTGTTTTTCATATTACTGCACCAAATATAGCCACTATCACCATCTTAAATATGGTTATTTGATAGAAGTAATAACTATGAAAATAGATAAGTTAGTAAATACTCACCTATAAGAAAACAGGGTTAGAGAGTACAAAGTCATGTAGTTAGAACATTTCATTTTGTATCTATTTTCAAAAGAAATTTCTTGTTTGAATTTCAAAAGGAAAATCACATCTGTTTTTGCTCAACATTGCAATGTTCAATTTTACATAGAGATGAAAAATTGTACGTCAAGCAATGAGTTGAATGTTTTGGAGAAAAGAAATTGAACAATAATGCAAGGTTTTTCAGAAGTGAAATATGTGGGCTTATGGTCCATCTGCTTTGGGTTTTCATTTTCATCCACATTTTTATTTATTGTTTCAGAAATATTTGAGAAATTTATCAAATCTGTTCTTTTCTCTTGGTCATGTTCGTATTTTTCAAAACATATTTATAAATAATTGTGTGATCTTTCTTCTTTGAATCTCTTAATGTGATAGAGGCTTTGAGAGGTGCAGTCTTTGTGTTCAAAGGCCCACTCCCTGGACGACACCTGGCCAGCATGCAACACCAAGACCGAGAGTACAACGCAAGGAGTCTATTGATCCTCCCCGGTCGACACCCGGTGATGAATCACTGCTGGCTGAGTGATCGCTATGGGATGAGGGCCTCTGACGGAGGAGGATGAGGAGGAATGATGGAGATGGAGGAGGGATGCAGGAAGGAAGGACTTACCGGCTGCATCAGGAGATGGTTGGTCCCTGAAGGCAGGGGAGGTCAGGGAGACCGTCATGGTCATGGCTGGTTCCTTGGTAACGATCAGACCGGCCTCCTCAACGCACAATCGAATCTCATACTTCTCCTCTGTGATCTCCTGCAGGGGTCCAAAAGAAAATATTTGAGAGGTGGCTGCAATATTAGAAACATTTACTTGTTTGTAGCCTTCAAATATTTTTCTTTCTAAATTGAGACCTTCTTTGTCATATAAGCAACAATATCTGATTCATTGCTGAATTATTTTCAATGAAAGTCATTTTTTTTTTCATATTGAAATGAAATAAACAAACATAGATAGACACTACATCAGTAAAGTTAAATAAGTCTGAAACAACCACACATACGAACAGACTGAAAACAGTGTGCATGTACTTCCAAAGCCTTCTCACCACATAACTAATGTACATGTAAGAATGGCTCTAGAGGCATTGGGGATTCTTAATATCTGCAAACGGGAAGCCAATCAGTGATGATAGTAGAATCAGTCTTGGAGCAAGTTTGCAATGATCTTCATATACTGCCATAATGAAGTCTACCCAGTGCAATTTCAAATATTACAGTCTTGCAAGTCTGTTACTGTTATAATTGCTTCAATGATATCATTCATCTCAAAAACAAACAAGATAATTGTGTAGTATATATCTTCAGGTACTAATACCAAAATTTGTTGAAATATGCTTGAAACAAATTATATTCTTCCAATGTTATTTGTGATTTCTGATAACACTGATATAGCTTCTCATTGAGAGCACCATCTACAAAGCTTATCCTTGAACTCAAGGAACTATACCCATTGTAAATGATACTTTGAGAAGCTAGTTAAGTTGGATAAGCCGGATGAAGCATTTCCATTGTACAGAAATGGGGTGTTTAAACTGCATGTACCATCAGAAGATAAAGTTTGATTTGAAGGAGGTTGCTTACCGTTAGATGTTTGGGAAGTAGATTGGCGATGCGTTCTAGTAGAGTACGAGTGGGCTTCTCGGCACACAAGATAACAAGACCCATGTTGAGTGCACCTCTGAGGAGCAAGCCCTTGGCCAGGACACCTATACGCATCACTCCCTTCAAGACACGAGGTGGGAGGGGCGCCTCCTTAGCTGGTCTAAACAACGTGAGAGAGAGAGAGAGGGGGAAGAAAGGAATTAGGCTATCCTCATCGAAATAAAAAAAAAATGTAGCAATTTTAGCCAACTTCAGAAAGAGTAACTGACCTTGATATTGTTACACTTTGTCCAATACAAGTTATTCCATATCATGCTGATGAAAGTATTTACACAAAACATATTGCAAGGAAAAAACATAACCTACATTTTAATCATAAAGACTTCATTCAACAGAATTCATCTAGTTCCTACTTCCTACCTACAAATTTACTAAAACTTGGTACTTGCTGATATGTTGTAAGTTGTAAGTTGTACAACACATGTTCCAGTGATAATGAGTCTGCACTCATTTTCCTACACTTACCGACTCCTCCACTTCAACCTTGGACCAACAACATTCTTGGCCCTAGACCCAACTTAAAACCCACTTTCAACTCTAATGCTAACCCTATATCTTGGACAAAATAAATCCTAGAGTAAATGATTCTGGACCAAATATCAGATCACTACAATGATTGAATGCCACCCTCAGAGACTCTCTGGTAAAACCCCTCTGTTTAAAGACTATCTGCACTAGTTTGGCAAGGGGGATTAGACCTCCCTGCAAGGTCACTGACAAGTGGTTTTCTCATAAAATCAGCTCTCAATTAACATAAGAAAAAGAGGATCATGGGGGACCAACGGGCACCGCTTAGGCATAGTTTTCTACATAGAGGGAGCAAGTAGCTATAAGTAGTACAGTGGGGCTTTAATGCTTACTCTTCTTTCTTCTCATCTGCTGCTGCACTACCCTCTTTGGTAGCTGGTTCAGTCTTGGCAGGTTCTTTGGTTTCTTCTACGACTGGTTCAGGTGGTGTAGGATGGTCCTCTTCAGCAATGTGGTCAGACACGCCCTTCAATGCCTTCTCCATCTGACTAACCATGTTCTGCACAAGTTGTAGCTACATGGGATAGAACAACAATAAAGAATTTTAGATTAAAGATTCTATTCCAACCCAATCCAGGTATTTATAAAGCGCCAATATCTAGTCGCTAATCAAAGGCACTGATGAGACTGAAAAACTGTTCATGATTCTAACAAAAAAGCAGTGACTAATTGTAAGCAATCTAAAATAGGTATGTCTTTAGTTGAGTTCTGAAAGTGGATAACTAGTGACAAGAGCGAAGGATGTGGGGAAGACCATTCAACAATCTTGGTACAAAGGCAGTAAATGATCGATCCCCTACAAGAGAGTGTGTACGAGGACTCTCAAGCAGGTATTTACCTGCAGATCGCAAATTAGTTTGAGGGTTATAAATAGTCAACAAGTCTGAAATGTACATAGGAGCATATCAAAGCATTGCCTTCCATGTTAATAAAATAATTTTGTATTAAATTCTCTGTTTTATTCCATTCTGAATATCTATTACATGATACAGAAAATTGACTTCCATTGGTGTTACATTTACATGCAATGTGAATGTAAACATAATGTGCATGTTATGGTTTACTGAGATCAAAAGATGATCAATAACAGACTGATGGCAACATTCTAAAAATCAGACTTATGTTCTTCAATTATAAGGATACTACAATGTATGTACTTCCAGAGCATTCTCATCACATAACTGATGTACATGTAAGAATGGCTCTCGAGGCATTGGGGATTCTTACTATCTGCAAACGGGAAGCCAATCAGTGATGATAGAAGCATCAGTCTTGGAGCAAGTTTGCAATGATTTCAGGAAGATGTCTAGGAGCACAAATGAGTATCCATTGAGTGTACAAATTATATACAAGAAAAGTCTCTTCCACAACCCTTAAACGTTTTTTGGAAGCACATAGGGACATTATATCACGCGATGTTCACTAGAAATGACCAGAGTAATATGTTATATCATACTTTGATATTTGCTTCGTAGGAAGGGGGTATTAATTCATCATTTTTATCTTATAAATGTAATTGTTCTTACCTCCTGTTCTGAAGGATAGATAGAGCCATGCTTGGACATGACATGACGGTCAATCTCTGTCTCGGTACGCTTGACCTGCATGACCGGAGCATCGACCGGGACGGGCGGCTTGGGTGGTAGGGGGCGGGGCAGATGGACGCCACGGCGACGCTGCCATTCAAAGTACTCCATCTCTTGTTCAAAGCGTCTTCGCTCCTCCCAGTAGCGCTCTTCCTCCATGCGTCGCCAGTACATGTCCTCTTCATATCGCCTGTGATAACCAAACATCAGATAAAAGAATGACAAAGTCTTATTCCATTTCCAAATCTAAAATAGATCTAATCTTCAAGATAGATTCACTATTGATCAAACTTGCCATGCATCATGCTCCTCCTGTTGAGGCTATTGTCGATTGCAAAATCAGAAGAGTGTAAATATGTGTTCAATGATAAAAGTTAATGCCTTTATAGATGGGTCTAAGCAGATGATATAATTCCATTAACTACAAAAAGCAAATATTAGCCAAAATACATCACTATGCTGTAAGTAGTTTTATTCTAAAGGAGCAACCTTATCCATCCCTAAAAATTTCTTTGGTTACCAACAGGCAACTGAGATTAAGCTAACTTGTCAACAGGTTTAACCAGACATTTGCTTTGGGGTTCAAGCTTAGGGTCAGGGTTAAGAATAGTGTGTGGTCCAGGGTGGAACTTAAACATTTAGTAACTAATCGCACAGCACTTGTGACTGGAACACATCTTGTAGAACCCTATGATCTTGTCCGTACCTCATCTCTTCTCTCCACTGGAATTCCTCCTGCCTCTGCCTCATGAACTCCTCCTTAGCCATCTGTCGTCTCAGCTTCTCTTCCTGGAGTTTGCGGGATCGGGCCGACGGCTTGATGTCCACTGGGTAGCTGGGGTCAACTTTCTTCTGCAGGGTCAACAAAAAAAAAGAACAATGGTCACTTATGTCAGACTCAGCATAGCTCCACATTGACTTATTTTATGCAAGGGACAAAACATATGAATCAAACCTGGCATTGGAATCTTGTTTTGCCCTTAAAAAGCTTTTAGAATAATAGCAAAAAATTATGTTTTAATGTATCTAAATAATTTGCTAATTGCACTCCTCCATTGTAAACTACGTAAAATAAAATTGCATCTTGAAGGTGCTTCAAGCAAAATATGAATACAGAACTAAGCTCTGCAGGATGATCCTTGAAAATTTAGGATTCTACAGTTTCTTTTTATAAAATTGTCTATAACCATTGATGCAAACACCTCTATGTTTGAACAACAAAATAACAGCTTATATTGATGCATAGAAATAATGAACAAATTGTGTGTTGAGAGCAAGATGATTTTTTGTACTATAACTACGCGGAAGCAGGAGACAGCCCGACTCATTCACAAACCAAAGAGTGATGTCCCTTGCTTGTGGGTAGTTACAGTACAAAATGGAAGGACATTGATGCTCTGTTAAATTATGAGAGTTAATGCTTTTAAGGCTCTTAGCAGATGAACATTCATGCTGTATACTATCACCTTCCACTGATTCAATGGGTGTGTACCTTCCTGCGGTTTCTCCCACACAATTAAAATGTATGGCAGATGACATCAAAGGCATTGGGGATATCTTTATGTTTGCAAACGGGAAGCCAAGATGTGGTATGGGGGGCACCAGTCCTGAAGCAAGTTTGCACATTATTTAATATTTAAAGACTTCCAAAAACGATTTCATAAATGAATCTTAATTTAAAGATAAAGTTGAGTTCTGGTCATGCGATTGTATTGTGAAAGAAAGGTTGTGGAATCGATCAAAAAAGGTTGATCATCTAGCATATAGGTGTGTACTGTAAGGTTCTGGAATCATCAAAATGATAACAAATTTGGCTCAGTCTTGGTAAACTTACAAGCACTGTACACAGAAAGATGTATATGGGACTGTGCGATATCTATCCAGGCCGGATAGATATGATAATTCACCAAATATATCAATTAGTAGGGGGTTTCTTTGCCGGTTTCATTATTCAGGGAATGTCTCCAAGCCTTCATCATCAGAGACTGGCAAAGCTCTGTAGAATGCCTGGTATGCAAGAGGTATGACATTCTGGTCACACAAGGAAACAAGGTCAGACAGCCTTCTTGACTGCACTGATCTTGAGCAGATCATGATGAAAAACTTCAAGTCTCAAGTTACTCATCTTGCGGGAGGAAGACACCCTAATTTCTCGCATCTCATCCCCAAATGAGTACCTAAACTGCATGACATGGGGGTTCTGCTTCTCAAATTTCAGGTGCTTGATTCTGGTCCAGTAGACACGATTACCTGAAATGTCCTTTACCGTATTTTGGAGAAGCTCTGAAGCGAGCCTTTGAAGATCAACAAACTCATGATGGTGAAGTTGTCTGACATGATAGGGCTTGTTCCTTCTAGCCAGACTGGCAATAGTTGCCCACTGGTCAGGGTGGTACACAGGGACTTTCCTCTTGACCGTTTCTATAGAGCTATGCATACTGTCTACCTCCATCTGGGTATGACCAGATTTGAGAAACGTCTGCTCAATAACAGAAAGAGATGAAGTACGCACAACATAGAGCGATGCTACAGCAACATACTTGTTTCTGTTCTGCCCACAACAGCAATTACTGAAAAGAATGACATGGTCAACACAATCAGGCAGCACTTCAAGATGATTGACAAGGCATGAGCCTATCTCACAAGAACCTCTCCCTCCATCTCGCTCCACAAGAAACAATGGCCATCGCCATTTTCTTGATTGTATAAGGTGAGATTATATGTCGACAGCTTCCTCTTGTAAAAAAGAAGGGAAGCATTACAGGAAGGGGTTGACAAAACCTGCTGTACGTCGAAAGTAAAAGATTGAAAGCTGTTGTCCTGGTTTGCACGCTGCTTGTCCTTCTCTTTGTCCTTCTCTTTCTCCTCTCTGGCTTTGATTTTGTTGAGAATATGATCTTCCTGATCTTTTTTCAAGCCTTCTTTTTCATTTTGTGAGGCATTGTCAAAGGCTGTGCATTTTGTAAATTCATCGTTTTTAGGCACATGAAAGCCTAAATTAAGTTCACTGTTGAAAACATATCTATATGTGGTTAGAGATTTAGGATATACGGTTTCTTTTACATACATGTCATACATCTTTGTCAAACTGAGATTGCCAGGGAGGTACTGACAGGATGTCGTACTCCTACAGTAGTGAGAGGGGACAACTTTGAATTTCTTGATGTGAGTCCTGATACAATCAAGTTCAGTCTCATTGCTTTTGTTATGTGGCCGATGATGCCCTCTCTAATCTTGTGCAAAATTAGCCTCTTGGTTATTTTTTTTACCTGACTGCTAAGAAAGCATAAATGCTTGTAAGTAAGCAACCAGCCGGCCGACGGCTTTATGTCCTCTCCGAGGGACCTGGTAATGAGGATTAATGCCTTACTAAAGGGCACTAGCGCATCAACTTGGTTTTGAACCCGGGTCACTGGATTACGAGACCACTGCTCTACCAACTGAGCTATCGCGCCTCCTTTTGGACAAGGGTGTACCAAACTGTCTTCTGGGAGATAGCCAAAGTGTTCAGGAAATACTTCAATCTTTTCACCATCTATAGGAAGAGAATATATTCTAGTGATGCGTGATGCATTCTCCTTTGTACCATTTTTCTTTCCCCTGTTCTTCTCTGTCCCACAATGGCGAATGAAATCCCCCTGTTGTTCATAATATCATGTTGCCCAGTATTCTGTGAAGATGTTATCCCGAACATTTTCACTTATTCTCTCCCAGCATTTTAATCTACATGGCAAAATTTGTATCATCACGTATTAGTTGAAACATATTCTTTCACATGATTGGTGACGAGAGCTTCCATTTAATTTTTTAGAGAGGGGAGCGTTTCCAAAACTGGTCTATACCTTTAATCGTAACTGGTACAACTCTATCATCTCTCGTGCAGAATTGAACTGACCTTGTACTGAAGACGATGCCTGCGACCTTTCATGTGCATCTCTTTGGCATTAGGGTCATTGAACTGGCATTCACAGAGCTTGCAGTTAAAGCTGACAAGCTTGCCTTCCTCGTTCTTCAGTTCCTCGATGTAGTCCTCACCGACCGGTAGGATGTCCTTCTCCATGTCTAAATCATCCTTATCTGTGGTTACAAGGGAAACGGATGCACAATCAAGCATCGTTCAGACATCACAAAGTCAACAGGCTACAAAAGTCGCTCAAGCAAACTAAAACCATTAGACATGCAACAAATGTACTGGCAATTGGGGAGGGAAGATAAGCAGCTGCATAATCCTTGAAGCAAAATAATTTTATCCCGACATTATAACAGGGCTTGACACTAACAAGCTCCTGAGACAGATGATCGTCCAAAATCAAGTAAAGACCCCAATTTTTTACATTTTTTGTAAAACCTAAGACTCATGCATTGGGACTCTAAATAGTTAAATCCAGACCCCAAAAGTTAGGAGCCCTACAATAGTACTAAGTTATACAGACAAGTGAAGTGTATCATAGGATCTGAACCTTGGAACCAGGTTTTTTAATCAATTAATTATTTGATACAACCCAAGCATACTTTATTGACCACTTGCCAGTCTACTTCTTATAATTCAGAACTTATAGCTATTTAATCACTTGTGAATTTGTATTGATTTTTCATGTTTGTTCCTTTTGATTATGCCTTTACTTGTATATTTAATAGAAAACTCATAACTCCTTTAATTAAACTTAATGAAAAATAATCATTTTTATTTTTTTTTTTACCATCAGATACCATTCAAGTCACTTTACACAAAGCTTTAAATTTTGATGGAAAGTGGATAATAATATTTATATTTAAATTTTAAATTCCAAAATTGTCTTTGTTTGTAAGCAATATTTTTATAATGTTAGCATTATACATGTATAGTTACTTTTATTTGCTTTAATATTTATTTTTACAATATTGTGTATGATTCCTTTTAATTTGTATGATGTTTTTAACGTTTTGAATTTTGTAAATTCATTTGTAATTTAGCCTTTGGCTACAATGAGTGAATAAAATACCTTGAATTGAATTGAATTGAATTTATTGCACTGCGGCAGATTAATTTTAAGTTTAGATCTAGACTTGATTGATTATGGAACAACTTGTATGTGGAACAACCTGTATGTGGAGCAACTGTTGCTGTACCATGTTGAACATTTGCCCTTATAATGTTCTTATTCCATCTTGCCATCAAAGAAATAATATCTTACCTTCAGCAGTCGGGGCAATGACGGGTGTTGTAGGAGTTTTAGGAGCAGGAGCAGCAGGTGTTTGTGCAGTCTTTTGTTCATTCTTCTTCTCAGCATCACCTGTAGTAGCCAACTTGGACCCACCTGAACAGGTGAACAAGGAAGACAAGGATCAATAGAAGGTAAATCAATGTCAATTACAATTATACTGAGGGAGATATTTCTAGGAAAGACAAACTCTATGGTTCTTGCAATCAAATATCCTTTCACTGCTTTTCATATCGTTTACAGAGAGCTAAAAATGGCATTAAGTCACAGGTTGTAACTGAGTGTTCACGCACTTCTGGTTCTAAAGAGACAATGTGCGATTACAAAGATGTACTTCCAAAGCCTTCTCATCACATAAGTGATGTACATGTAAGAATGGCTCTAGAGGCATTGGGGATTCTTAATATCTGCAAACGGGAAGCCAATCGGTGATGATAGACGCATCAGTCTTGGAGCAAGTTTGCAACAGTCCTATCAAACCCATCTAAACTTCCTAGCAGCCTTTTTGACAACTCTCTCTTGTCATCTCATTCTATTCTAAAATTTACTACTCATCATAAAAAAATAAGAGACAGAAGTAAGAGCTGTAAGCCAAAGACCAGTCAAGTCTGGTCAGTGACTATACTTGTGGCTGTACATGAATACCATTATAGTAGACTTTCACCAAAACATATGGAAACTTTTTTAAATGCAAAGGACTGGCTCTCCTACACTGGGAATCTCCATTTAACTACCAATGCAGGGGACAGCTTTTAACCACGATTTCCTTGTAGAGTCTGAGAAGGGAATATGATGGCAGGTTCCTGCACAAACTCCATTCATCTGTTCATGGATTTGAAGGACATGTTCAAGCTACTGCCTCCTGTACGTCACAGACCACATGTAAGATTTTAGGATACCTATCATTGTACCAAGTTAATAGCCATACAAGAGTTTTTATCAGACCAAATACAAAGTGGAAAGACAAATATGAAATCAATTTGTGTTCATAACTCTACAATACTTTGCGAGGTACAGGGCAGTCAATAACCAAAGACACTATAGACTTGCCCTGAACACACGCGCAACCTTCCACTCTAACGGCTCTACCAACCAACAGGGTCAAGAGGTTATCTTACCAACAAAAGTGATCTTTGGTGTGACCATCTTCTTGATAGGCTGAGCGGTCTTGGGGGCAGTCTTAGAAGGCGTGGTCTGGGTCTTGGCAGTCCCAGCGGTGGAATTGGTAACAGCGGTGGCCTGGTTACCAATCTTGACTGGCTCAGACGATGGGATGGGCTTGCCAAGTTTGGTGTGTAGCTTTAGTACCTGGTGTACAACGACGAGGAAAAGATTGAAGGGTTACTGATGTTCAGTGTGTCTCAGAACATGAAATAAGAACTTTGGAAACACTATGGGATAAATCCCTAAATTGTACCTCACTCTGAAAGCTATGCTGGGATCGGGTGCATGTGCAGTCAATGACCAACAGCGAAGTATAAAGAGTTTATACAATTAAAAGTGAGAGGTGCAAGTTAAAACTATGGCTGCTCTGTTTACAGGAGCAGAAATCAGTTTACAGAAGCCAAAATGGCAGCAATAAAACTTACTGCTTGTAACCTTCAACAAGTATCAAGTGAAATCTTTACCCATTGCCTACTGGAACCGGGTGGTTCCTGTGTTAAAGCCAATGGAAATGGGAAAATTTGGTAATTAATTGGTTAAAATTAGTTTGCTTGAAAAGTTCCAAGTTATAATACAAGTTCATGTCAATAGATGTACTTCCAAAGCCTTCTCATCACATAACTGATATACATGTAAGAATGGCTCTAGAGGCATTGGGGATTCTTAATATCTGCAAACGGGAAGCCAATCAGTGATGATAGAAGCATCAGTCTTGGAGCAAGTTTGCAACATAAGCTATTTTTCCTTGTCACTAACATTTCTTTACCATATATACAACTTGTTTTTACATACCAAAGTCGTGAGTCAGACTGAGAATCAAGCTGTTGGTTTGTATGAAATCATAAGTCTCATAGCGGTATATTTGTAATTTTATTTGCAGAACCTCCTACTCGATCCTCAACCTTTAGTGCATGTAGAGTGCCTACCTTTTGATGCTTGGATCCTCTGATGTGTGCATTGTAAGCATCTAGACCGGTGCATGAGACATCACACAGTTCACAACGGTAGGCTTGAACCCCAGACCTGCTGCTTGGTAGGTTGACACTAGTCCCAGTCTTGCTGGCTAATTCCTTCTTCTTATGCTTCTGACCCTCCAGATGCTCCTTGTAGGTCTACATGAGAAATACAAGAGATCATTTAATCACATGATATATAATAATGCCACTTTGTTTTGGGTGCCCTGCCTCCCAGGTGTTAAAGACCGTCAATACTACTGGGCCAGAAGGGATTAGACAGGTGGCTATCTCATCAACTCAGCTCTCAACTAACATAAGAAAAAGAGGATCATGGGGGCCCAACGGGAACCGATTGGGGAAGTTTTCTGTATAGAGGGAGCAAGTAGCTACAAGCAGGACAGTGGGGCTTTAAGTGCTATTTGTGAACATTTTACAGAATTATAGAATGTAAATGAACTGATGTTTCTTTGTTTATTCCTAAATGAGGACCAAGTGGACAAATTCATTGTCAATTTCTAACATTAGTTAAAATTTTAAAGTATACCTAATAGCTAATCACAATAAACAAACTGAGGCCAGAGTGACTGTAACTTGATTTTAAAAAGAACAAACAAAGACGGACACTTTATCGGTCAAGTTGAATAAGTCTGATACAACCACACATCAGAACTGATGGATAACGATGTACATGTACTTCCAGAGCATTCTCGTCACATAACTGATGTACATGTAAGAATGACTCTAGAGGCATTGGGGATTCTTAATATCTGCAAACGGGAAGCCAATCAGTGATGATAGAAGCATCAGTCTTGGAGCAAGTCTGCAAAGATCTTTATATACTTCCATAAAGAAGACTACATAGGGAAAATTTAAATATTATATAGTAAATGATACTATGAGAAGCTATATAAAATACCTCATTGATAAAGCATTTCCTTTGTACAGAAATGGGATGTTTAAACTACATGTATCATCAAAAGATAAATTTTCTTTGAAGGAGTTGCTAACTGTTAGATGTTTGGGAAGTAGATTGGCAATGCGTTCTAAAAGAGTATACCTAAAAGCTTATCATAATGAACAAACTGAGGCCAGAGTGCTGTTACCATAGCAAATAATGGATCATAGATGACTTACCCTAGGTCCAGCACAGCTGATCTTACAGACATCACAGTAATGTAGCTGAGTAGGCTTTGGTGGTGCTTTGGTCTCCTTCATGCCGCCACCAGGGCCTTTGTTACCCCCCTGCTGCTGGAATCCCTGGCCTTTCTTCATTCCCTTGTAGCCTCCTCCTCCCCACTGACTACCCATCTTCACAGTCTGCTGCTGTTGGTAATAGTTGGTGGCTGCAGAGTAGATGGCTGCATCGTAGCTCGAGTACTGGTTGTTGGGACCACCACCACCGCCGCCGCCTCCACCACCACCGCCGCCCCCGCCTCCCCCACTGTTGTTATTACCACTACCTCCTGCATTGTAACAAAATCATTTATTGGTTCAGATAAAAGAAAGAAACCAGCCACATGCCTACTATAACATGTATTACAATAATAGCAACAAATTCCATTGCTTAACAATGTACCTGGAGCAGACTTGTCACACCTGCATATTAAATCACTAGCACACAAATCTTTCATGTCTTTCAAATTCTAAATCACCGTCAGATACAGCTGCTCAAATAGATATCCACTCAGCTTTGAACTGAAAATTCATGTGAATTTAATTTACAACAAATATTCAGCACTAAAAAGTCAATTCAGAGCTCAGAGACTAGATACTCCTTATGTTATTAATTCAGCAGAGGCCAAATGCCTTCTACTTTCAACCAGAGGTACGTCTCAATGCCCCCTCTCAATCTCCTTCCCATCCTATTCCCTAAACTCACCGCTATACTTGGACTGGCCAGAGTAGGATGATGATGAGGTGGTAGCATACGTAGGAGCTGTGGTCTGGGCAGCGTACGCATAGGTGACAACAGGTGCCACCTTGGGCTGGGATGGCTTTTGAGACATGGACTGATGTCCTCCTCCGCCGTACCCTGATCCTCCACCAGAGGTGTACACAGAACCGGTTTTTCCTGCTAGTCAAAGATAAAGAAAACCCGTCACTCACTTAAATTGTGTAGGATAAAATGAGCTTCAGTTACCACACTTCAGAATTCAATGGTAGTTAATTGGTTAAAATTATTTAAAATTGGTCTAAATTATTCAAGTCCCGCTGGTTCCAAGATTTTTTCTGACTTGTTTTTCAATACAGATCGATCAATCAATCTTATTTACTGGGTGTAAGCCACAAATATGTTTAATAATGGTTAAAATTAGTCTGCTTGAAAACTTCCAAGTTATAATACAAGTTCATGTCAATGATACTATAGATGTACTTCCAAAGCCTTCTTATCATGTAACTGATATACATGTAAGAATGGCTCTAGAGCATTGGGGATTCTTAATATCTGCAAACTGGAAGCCAAGATTTGATGATGAATGCATCAGGCTTGGGGCAAGTTTGCAACAAAAGCTATTTGTCCCCGTCACTTGCTTTTATATACCAGTCTGAGTCAGACTGAGAATCAAGCTGTTGGTTTGTATGAAATCTGAAGTCCCATAGCGGTATATTTCTACTGTGAAAGGTACTGTATCTATATTTGTTGGATAAGAATGATATTCAGTTTCCACACTATGTTTCCATTAGGTTTTGTTGTTGTTATTTACTGGTCCAAATAACTGCATTGCTTCTTTAACAATTAAGAATCAAGCTGGTTTTGCTGGAAATGCAACCCCATTACTAGAACTCACTGTAAGCTGTAATTCTCTCAGTTGCATACACAAAAGATGAAATCTTTGCAACTATACTGAAACGTAGGACTGATAGGATCTTAATCGAGATTCATAAACACTACCCTTATTTACTAAGAGTACAGGTAGATCCTGTAATCCTTAGTCACTTCTTCAGGGTTGGCTAGGTTCTTCAGTCTCCAATCGGTGCAAAATAAGTGTTGTTATTTTGCACATGCGCATGGTAGAAACGGTTTGATCATAATAAATTAAATCGTTCAGACCACCAATATTTATCCAATCTTGTTTTGAAGGTATCGATGGAGTTTGAGTCTTGAGGAAGACTGCTCCAGTCGGACACCACTCTGTTAATGAAAAACCATACCCATAACCTTTCTTTGAGTCTCTTTGAGTTAGGGTATTGATTGAAGTATTGACTGATGTAGGGTACGATACGTAATATTAAAAGGAAATATACTATATCACATATCTACATGTAGAATAAATACAGAAATACAAGGGAATACTCCTTTACCAGCTATTTTCCCCCTCTGGGAGAAGTAGGATTCCGTGGCAGAGTGCTGCTGTGTTGGGGCTTGATAGTAGGTCTGCTTTTGGAATGCTCCGGTGCTTGGAGTCTGCTCAAAGCCATACCCTGTGCTATCCTGGTATGTCTGGGTCGTTTGACGAGCTGGAGTCGGGTCCTGGCGCTGGGGAGTGCTACATCAAGAAGGGTGAACAAGTTTAGACGGTCAAGTGCATAATCTACTGTGACTAGTAATCTGCTGTTTACTAACAAACTTAAAGGATACAGATGAGTAAATCAAGTCCATTAGGATCCAAACGATTTCTTCCGATGCATGAGGTCGGAATACGTCTTTCAGTATTTGTTTTTTAAATATCTTCAACATTGTGCACTTACTCCTACTTAGGCATGATAAAATCACTTATTACAATATGTACGATTTCACATGATATTGAAGATGTTCATAATGATCCCACTGGCACTTCTCCCACCCCCCCCAAAAAAAAAATGTTATCCTGTTCAAAAACCTTCTCTGCAATTTTATTACATACTGTACCTGTATCCATAACCTCCAGGTTGTTGACTTGTGGCATAAGCTGTGTCGTAAGTAGCTGTTTGGGTCTGTCTAGGTGTTGCTGTAGATGCATAGACAGCTGTTGGGTGTGTGGCTTGGGCAGGGAACAGCTGTGCAGTGCCTTGGGCTGCTGCAGCTGAAGCATGCTGCTGGGCAGTGTATGTTGTAGCCTGAGGCTGGCTATTATGCGATAAAAGAAAATGAAGGAAATAACAGAAATTAAGAAAGTAAAAGTTTAAAAACGTCAACTTCACAATGAGGATCACCTGAACTTCAAATTGACTGTATCCCTTCATTATAATTGTTTACCATGTAATTACAGTAAATCACCCATTCCCGCTCTCAAGTCTCAACACAGGCAAAAGAATGCCAATTGAGGCTTGGTGATATCAATCAATGCCATTTCCAGGTGTGACTTAATAAAGTTTGGGCTAACCACAGATATTAGCAGAAATTAATTTTTCATTTGGTCTCGCTCAGTCTTGACGAAACCGATTGCGACTTTTTGTCTGAATACCAGCAGGGAAGCTGGTTCGAGAATAAGGATCGTTCGCATAAACGAGGATCGTCTGCATAAACGAGGATCATTTTTGTTAACGCAGACAGACGCCTCCGCAAAAATAAGGATCGTCCGCATTTTCGCACACGTTTCATATTTCCGCTCCGCACATTGGCGGTGCACAAAACGGATTCCGCAATGATTTTTTGGGATGTATTTTACATATTGACTTTGTACAGAGACTCTCACGTTTTATAATGAGCGACGAATCCTTGAGAAGACGGCCAACCCAAGACGGTGAACTACCGTTTTTTGCATCACCAGGACCAGGGGCCTAGCCCTAGGGGGCAATTTGGGAACCCGAAATCTGCAGAGCATCGATGAAAAAAAACGTCCGCGAAAATGCAGATGATCTCTATTTTTGAGGACGCATTTTTTCCGCGTTTAGGAGGACGATCCTCATTCTCGAACTCTTCACGCAACCGACTTTATGTCTGAATACTACTTGAAAATCTATCCTCCTTCCCTGTGTTATTGCCCCAAAAGAAAAAATTCATGGTTCGTTTTATCACTCTAACATAACAAAATCAGATACAAGTCGATAGATTATCATTTGATGAAATACAACCACTGAACAAGGTTACACAGAGCTCACTAATTTCATTCAACATGCTCAATCTTCTCAATCTCAGTCACCGATAGACCTAATCTGAGTAGAACCTAGGCCTAGAGTCTAATCACATTCACAATCACATTATTTACCACACTCCCAATTCCTATATTTCCCAGATTTAGCAACAAAATTGTCTTCTCCATAGTATTACTATAAACCCAAGTTCAATATGTTTTTAGATTGCAAGTCGAAATCTCACCTATACTGCGTTCCTCCGTGGGTAAAACCGAAATAATTTCCTGACGCCATTCCTTCCAATCACAGATTTACATGAACAAATGTCTATGCTGCATACACACTGCACTTGCACTGGATACTACAGCGCTAGCATGCATGCTAGAGTACATTACATATATACAAAGCATACACGCGGTACATGCACGTATTATTACCGGTGTAGCCTCCAATCGGATCGGCCGACGCTAGGCGCTAGGCCATGTGGTCATTGATCACGTGACCTTGTTAGCTGTATAATTATCTTCGTGCATGTAATTATCACTGCACTGTTCTCAATATTTATGTTGACAAGTCATCACCTTGATTGACGATGTCGTCGGAAGAGACAGCGATTTAGGAAGGAACGGGGGGGTCGGGCCCCGGGCTAAGTATATGATTATAAAATACATATTTTCTCTTTATAAAAAAAAAAGGCCCATGCATGACGCGACGATCTTCCACTTTCTAGCTATATCCTCCTTGCTTGGAACATTTAATTGATGACAAAAGTTTGAACTCCAACCCACTCGAATTGTGTATGACTTGAATTCATGACACGACTGCAGCTTTGTAAAATATATTTCAAAAAGTGAAGTACTGGGTAAAGTAGCTATGAAAATAAAAAACTTTTTTCCAAAGACCGTAGGCTATGAAAATTCAAAGACAATCACAATAGGCTATAATAGATCAAACCAAAACGGCCGGACTAGATTTACATGTAACTGAATGAGTGGATACTCTAAGGATCTACTTTAGTAGTTTGTTCTGAATTTTAGAGGATATGTATATCAAAGATTAAAATAATAGACAATTTAATAAAGTTATATATATCAGAACAAAATAGATGTATTCATGAAATCTAGCCATGTCTGAACAGATCAGCAAGTTTGATGAGTGAATAATACACTATAGCTGGCTATATATATATATATATATATATATATATATATATATATATACAAAAATTATCTTCACTTTGTTTTTGCAAATAAAAAGCATAACATATAATCATTATTTTGGTTTATCTTTCATCTTTAATTTCTATGTTTACAGCATTTATAGGATTTCATTTCCACTTTCTACAAGCTGACACATTAGGGATGAACTATTATGCTGGCTGTAAGTTACGGAAATATATTCGGGAAGAAGTGGATTTCAGCTGCAATCATATTAATATATTGGTGGACCTCCGACCAGACATTTCCCCCTCAGAGTATTGATGAAAATGTTTGGTAGGAAATTGAGATATAACAGATCCCTAACTGTGTCCTTAACTTTGAAATGAAAACATACTTGAGTCTATAGGTGATGTAATTAAGAATAATATTTTGAAAAGATCTTCCATCTAATGGACACAAAGCATCTATTTCTGTTGATGCAAATGATTTTAACAGGAAATCAAACTTCTTTGTCGTTTTACCCTAGAAGGTTCCGTTGTCTTTATACAAAAGTTAATCGCTATTTTCAAGAAAATAAAGATGTTTTGGGCCAATTTGAGAGGAGGCCTTTTTATTTTCCATCAAACTATAAACGAGAATCAAACTCATAACTTTCATTTGAGAATTACGACACATAAAATATGGGGTCCCTCTTGCCAGGCGTGTAGCCTCCTCCTCCCCCCCCCCCCAAAAAAAAAAGCACAAGAAGAACAAAAAAAAAGAGATGTGCATGAGTTAAAGGGGAAAGGAATAAAATGAACGATAGAATTAAGAGAGGTGCGAGAGCATGAGAATTGCATTTCTTTTAAAAGAATAATGGGTTAACTACACAGTTTATAAAACGGCGAGATAATTTACTACTGGTGAAGTACCAGACCATCGTCTTTTTGTTCATTGTGCATGCAGCTCCAAAGCACGCACAACTTCTCGAGACGTGACAGATCACTTTTCTCTAACTTCTAACCAATCAGAAGGCCTCGCCTTTTTTTTCCAGGAACTTCCGGTGTCAAAATGTGCCAAAATAATGTGGTTCTCAAATTGCAAAAGATCCCTACTCTTGGAGCTGGAGGGGGAAGGAGAAAGCAATTTTATTCCATATTACTCCAGTAAGAGCTTGAAAATGCGCCTAATGAGGTTCTAAAAGTTGCAAATGCTTCCTACTCAGGGAGGCGGGGTCTGACCCCGTTCCCAGGTGACGTGACCCGCCTGGTCGCTACGCTCCCTCGACGCTGACGCCTCGTTCCATCGTTTTTCGTATATTTCACCCCATGCGATTTGTCCCCCCGATTAGAAATTCCTGAATCTGCCAGAGTTCTATCATGCATATATTTTTCAACCTCTACATTTAAAAATGTATCATGACCTGAGAATTATAAACTGGATCATTACAGGGGCGTTCATTGGGGTGTTAGAACAAACAAAAAACACCCCCAAAACACACAGAAAGGATCATCAGATTTTCAAATTCATTTGTCGATAGGCACTAAAAAATGATGATTTTGCTGATATAAAACAAATCTGATATTAGGGATCGAACCACGCCCCAGGACCACACCCCACCCTAGTCTGCAAGCACAAACCCTGGTCAGTCGTAAAAGTGAGTCTGCACTATAAGACTACCATAGACCATGTACTGTAGCTGCTCCTGATACAACCATGTTGTTGTTGTTGTTTTAGTTTTAAGGGCGTGTTGGGCCTTCTCTCAAGGCACAACGATTTGTTGATAAAGTGTTAAATTAGGGTCTGCGCTTGCAGACTACCCCGCCGCCGCGCTCCCTTTGCAGATTGGAGTTGTTATCACTACAAGTATTCACTCCTTAATAAGCGCGCGCAGTGCAGTACACACATCATAATCATGTGTCTTATCACTTCGCCGGGGGAGGATCTCGAAAATTTATTTTCGCAGCTGAGAAAACCTTTGCTCTCTGACGTGAGATGGTGATATAATATTGATTTATGTTCCATATATTGTGCCAAGACAGGTTTTGTCATGATGGATGGGCAGTCAGAAAACCAAAGTACAAAAAAGCGAGGTAAGACTTCTTATAATTTAAATGGGTAATGAATAGTAGATATAAAGGAAGAGACAGTGAAGAGACAGTCTGTGTCGACTGTCGGCTCGGCGCGCGCTCGGAGCAGGTCAGGCCAGGTACAGGTCCCGCCGGTGCCTTGGGCTTGGCCCATGCAAGAGACGATAGAGACCGGTTTACTAACTGTAGATCTATATATTTTATTCAATTTCTATGCATAAATTTTGAACAAAGGTTGTTTTTGATAACCTAGTAATTGTATTAAAACATAGACTTCTACCAAAAATTGATGAAATCTTCATCAATTGTTCAAATAATGATCATAGACTAGTCTAATTTAAAAAATGTTGGGTTTCTTACCTCACCTGTTTCGTGTCAGTTTTCTTATCGTTTTTGGAGTGTTTCCCCTAACAACACAGACTTGAAATATACATTTTCTCACAGGATTCACGGCAAACTGCTGCACGATACAATTGCATACCGTACCGACGTTGGGGGTGCGGGCGCGTGTGAAGTTAGTGACCGTAATGATGAATTGCTTAAACTAAAGTTAGATTAACTTAATGATTTTGTATACATTATTGGGCACGTATTTGTTGCAATATCGAAATCACACTTTCTTTTCTAGTTATGATCCTATTATTCTTGCTCATTCCTTCAATTTTTTTTCCAATTATATGTCTTCTTCACATTATAAGTCTTTAAAAAAAATCAGACATGATAAAAGATAAAAGATGAAACATTAGTGGAATGTAAATTTATTTCTTGTTCACTTTCATTTAATCATTGTTTTCTCTTTTGTACTTTTCTATGAAATGATTTTGTAGATGGTTCTGTAATGGGGACATATTTGATTTTTATTCTTTATTTACTCTACAAATGATTTCTTTTGATTTGAAGCTTGAATTAAATATTTCAGACGCTCATTTTTACTCTGTGTTGAATGTGTTCACATTGAAAAAATGTGTTTTATTTAGTCTTTCATCCTGCTAGAATAATCTATTCTTATATATTAATGATACTATTCTTTCATTGCCAGAAATGTACATGCATAATTGTGGTAGAAGTCGTGACAGCATGATTAACGACCTTCATGTGTTTTATTTCCTTCACATTGATCAATTGCAGGAATGACCAGATTTCAAGTAGACGAAGTCCAAGAGAGTAATAATGGTAATGGTCATTCCCTGGTCAATCTTGATGAGGTCAAGACTTCATGTGATGATGGTATGACACCAGTGGACCTTCGTAGCAGAACAAACTCTGTTGTAGACCCAGCCGTAGTGGACATTAGCCATCCGATCAAGGCTTTGAAGATACCAAGAGAACTCTGGCTAAAGATCTTTGTTGTCCTACTGTTTGTTTTGATCGTCATTGGTACTACCTGTATTCTCCTATTCTATTCGGAACCACCTCTACATTACAAGGTTGGGAGACTACTATTCTATGTGGACACTAAAACTGTACGAGTCAGCTACAGAGGAAGTAACTATACGCACAGCTCTGTTGGGTTAAATTTACCGCTTGTTACTCCTTCGACCTGTGCGGCAACCACAGACAGGAGACTGTGTTTAGAATGGAGAGAGTACGGCCAGCTGGAGATCGATTGGTTAGAGTTGGACAACATGGATTGTTATGAATTTGCATGGACGGCCATCCATCAGGAGGTTCTTCACAAAGATTGCTTTTCATTCCAGAATGCACACTGGTATGGTGGAGCAGTCATTGCAAATCAGCAGTGGCCCATCGAGGTGGATGATATGCCATCTCAGCCGTTCTTATCTGGAGATGGGTCGTCACCTTTCGGACCAGTCTTGGAACGCTACTGGTTATCATCAAACGGATTGGGATTGAGAGTCAATGATTCTGTGTTTATCTCAATGAGCATGGATAGTGAGAGACAGGAGATGTGTCTGGAGTCTGGTCAATATGACATCTCCGTTCGTTCCAATACGAGTGAGTATTCTGTTTTGCAGTATACAATGTGTCTTGCTTCAGACCTGACAGCGGTTCACAGGAACATGAGTGATAAGTTTATTGTGAGAACTAAGAACACTCCAGATAGCAATGTGATCACAAACCCAACTTGGACCGTAGCTACACCAGCAGACAAAGCTTTATGGAATGATTCATCGTTAATTACCACTGCCAACACCCTTCACAATCTAGGATATACCTCAGGCTTATTTGAGATCCCATCATCGTATGAAGCAGTAGAAGGAGACCTTGTGTTTGATGGTAATCGCTTTAGAGATGTCTCCACAACCATGACAAGAATCCAAGATCTGGGATTCACAACAGCTGTCCAAGTTACGCCATACGTCAGCACCCAGTCGAAGAGCTTTGTGGAGGGTGTGAGTAGCGGGTATTGGGTAAATGACCCTCGGGATCTAGTCCCGGGGCTTACTAAGTGGGGGGACAATGTAGGAGCTGCCCTTGATGTGTCCAGCAGCAGTGCCGTCCAGTGGTTTAAAAGCAAACTCAAGTCCATTCGAGCGAGTGGTGTGGATGCTTTCACCTTTGATTATGGACAAGCAAGTTACTTACCTGTTGGCTTCCAAGTAGAGAACACACTTGAGATTCCAGATGAATATGCTACCAGGTATGCTATTATTGCCAGTGAGATGGCATCACCATTAGTTAGATGTGTATATCAGTGTCAAAACATTCCATTAGTTGCAGAGTTAATTACAAAGGACCCTACTTGGGATGGGGAGAATGGTCTGAAAACCATTATCCCAACAGCTCTGACAATGGGTCTTCAAGGCTACCCATATTTTATGCCAGATTTAAAATTCATGGAGGATGGGTGTGCCCAGCCTCAAGATTGTCTCCCATCCAAAGAGCTCTTCATACGGTACATCGAGCTCACTGCTTTTCTCCCTGCTATGCATATACCCACTATATTATCAGAGTACGATGAGGAGACCAGAAGCATCGTCCAAAAATGGGTGAAATTTCATCGAGATGAGATCGCTCAACTGGTCCTGGACCTCGCTCAAGAGTTCTCCCAGAAAGGTGATCCTGTCATCAGACCCCTGTGGTGGTCAGCTCCCACCGATACAGTTGCTTTTAGGATCAACTCCCAGTTCATGGTTGGTGATGATCTTCTGGTTGCGCCCATCTTGGATCAGGGTGCTACCCAGAGACATGTGTATCTTCCGGCAGGTACTTGGGTAGACAAGTCAAAACAACAGCTATCTGGAGAACAGTGGTTGAATGATGTTAGTGTTTTATTGGGTGATGTGGCATATTACAGGAGGGTACAGTGATACACCATTACCGGTACAACATTTTGCTTCAGTTCAATTTCTGTAAGGTCCACACAAATGCAGTGAAAATGTGTTTAAAGGCTGCTCAAAAGAAACAAGAGAAATGGTCCTTGTACATGTACATGTAGGCTGGTAGTCTTAATGTACAGGTTCCTTTGATAAACAGATTTCAATGATAAATCTTGTTCTAGTGAAACTAAATAAAGATGATCCTTACAGACAGATGGTCTTTTTGCACAGGTGTTTCCTGAAAACAGTTTTATTTTGGTAGTAAATCATCAAATTTGAGTATTATTCGTACAACATACTTGCATGTTCAGTATATTACATCTCTTTACTCTCAACTTTCAACTATTGTTTTACCATGTGATCTTTAAACTGACTCAAGATATGTACTGTTCCTATATAAATGTTATATATTTACATAAATTAAAGAAAAGAAATAATAGAATAGAAATAGGCTGAATACTTAAATATAGTATACATGTATATTGTAGACCATATTATGTTTCAGTACATTCCTATTGAAAATTCCTTGAATGTTGTGCCACTTGAAAATTATTGGTGAAATGCAATTCTTTTGTTCAGTACTACAGGTCTGTGTACATGTATAAAGAAGAATAAATTGATCAATGTCAAGGAACAGATTTGTCGTTGCCAGATAGTTAGAATTTTCACCTTAGTCTGAAGGCATGGGTGAATTCAACCTGTTGCAATCCTTACTCCAATGAAAAAGTATATCTACTATTAAATAAAAAGCCATATGGCACAGACTGAAAGCTGCAGTGGCCCATGCATCATGATATCTGAAGAATAATACTCAAAATGTATATTGCATAGGGTTATTCACTACCCCCCCCCCCCTCCCACCCTCACCCCCAATGTACTGAAACAGAAGGATCTTTAGGGGACAAGTATTTGGTTGAATATGGAAATAGCCTTTCATGAAGAAGAATGTGTGGAGGTGCATATAAGGTTGATATCCTGCTATTGTTAAATTTGGCCCATGATATCTGTGCTACACTGTATGCATTTTAAAAGACCTCTCGCACAATATAGCTATCTTTTAATACATTTGTTTATGAATTCTGTGAAACTGCCTAGAGCTATGTATACATTGTTTTAGGGTAGACCAATGAACTTGAAAGCCGTACTGCATTTGTGATATACATGTTTTTGTCTTTATTTCTTGTGAGTCAGCAATGCATTTCTGTTTGAATCATGCATGATAGAAGCTTTGAGGTATAGGTAATGGGCTCACATCCTGTTTCGCAAGATAACATGATTAGATTCTAAACTTAGTTGTGTGGCATGAATGATGGCATCCACTTAGTCAAATGTGAAATAAAAATAAGTACAGGAATTTCAGCTTCACAATGATGTGTAATAGAATTAACATTCACATATACACTGTATGCTGGTACATGTATGTCTTTGTACCAAGATCTGCGGTACATACCCGTAAATTTAATCACTTTCAATGGAAAATAAAAAATGTATTGAAGCAGATCCATCATAATGTATCCTAAAATTGATTTTTAGACAAATATCCATGAATAATAATCACAACTCTGAGTAGTCTATGCTCTGAAAGATAAATGTGTGCACATGAGGTATCCTAGCCATTATGCTGCCACAGACGTGATGTACCACTGTCAGCCAAAACTGGTCACTATTATTCTAGTTCAGTGCTGCCATGTAGATTTACAAGTATTTCATATTGAACTTTGAGAAGAAAAAGACAGATTTGTAAAATAGTAGTTTCTGTGTCATTGTGTTGTACATGTACATTCACCCGGGATGTTAGATGAGAAGGAATGGTTCTCTCAACAAATACTGATTTAGTAAAAAATACTGATATATTGGCAGCTAACTGCACCTTATACTTTGAGTAGGCCTCCAGACTGTGGATAGCTGTTGAAAATATCAGATGAATATTGTTAGAGGCATATGGTACCTGTCACAAATTTGCAAAAAAATGAGTCAGAAATAATGTGATGTGTATGCTTCATATGTACCGGTAATGTAACGCATGATGTATCACACATGATTCCAGTTATAAATTCTTAGCCAGTGTTATGTGGTTTACAATTTTGTTCTTCTCTTTACCTCTTCAGAGGGACTTGTTCCATTTCAAAATACATATGTGGTTTACAATACTTTTGTACTTAATGTTGGCATTGTTGGGGCACATATGATTCTTTTCATATTTCCTTGTAAAAAGATAAAAAGTTATATGTACATTAGGTCAACTTTCATAAAGATGTTTTTATCAACTATGTTACTTTTGTTTGCAAAAGCTTATTTATTCATATTAGTTTTGGTGCTTAACATTGATTCTGTTGAACATTAAAATAAGAATGTTTTATTTTATAGACATGTTTTAATACACATTGTTGGCAGCAATGTAGAAGAACTGTTGAATGCAGACAATGTGTAGAACCTATTTTCACATACTTTGTCAAGGAATGATTTTCCTCTCTTCCAGGAAGAAATGGGGGAAGTGACATCTTAACCTTTTACGGTTTTAAAGACAGGAACACATTAACTCTCAAAATATAGCTCCCTTACACATATCTTTCTAAAAACGAAAATTCCTTCCTTTTTTTGAGGGGATGGATACATGCAAATGAAATGCAATGTATGTATTGTAATTTGTAAACACATACTGCATGCACTTATTGTTAGCACAGACTCTCTTTTTCTCAGCAAATTTATTCATCCTGTTTATCTTCATCATTCAAAATCATTGCCTTCTGTTCTGCATTTTTGCCATAGTAAGCAGTTTCATATAAGTTGGACTTTGTATGTCACAGGAATATGTTCCTTCTGCATTATGTATTCTTCTACACTGCTACTTTGTCAAGATCTAAATGATACTTGACAGGAAATATGGGCCCATTTATCGGGTAAAGTGATTAATGTAGCTTCATGAAAGCATGTAGCGGGTCGAAGCAAATGAATGTAATCAATTGGATTATTTATTTGATGGATGACTTCTGTGTGGAGTAGTGATCTGTAATAAACAAGGATACTGTATACCTATCTTCAATGTATAGAAGCTATAGGGGACTATAGGGGCACAAAGGTGTGTAGGAATACAATTGATACACTCTGCATGTAAAGCATGTAACAGCTTGTTCAGATGTGTTACTGTAAACCAATGCGAAAATACCCCACCACTGTTTTTTTCTGTGTAAAATGAAAGGCTACTTTGCGCAACAAAATTCACTGAGTTCTGTGTTATAATATTTTAGCTACATGTACATGTATGTGAAGTATATAACACTTTATATCATCATTCTAAAAATACATCACAGTTTTGTTGCAGCGTTTCAGAATGGAAAAGAGTTGGAAAGAGCCAAAGTGAGTCCAAGAAATTAGAAATATGAAGGTTAGAAAAATGATGTAATATGTAACAGGAGGGTATTCACCCCTCTATGTTGTTTTGTATACCAGAGCAGTCCTTCAAAGTGGCATTGCTTCTTTCATATCCTTCCTCATCAGAAAGAGAGAATGACAAAACTCATCAATTATTCCCACCTTTCCCCATACCCTCAACCTAGTCTACAAGCTCAGACTCTAAGTTGACACTTTAACACAATTCCTAAAGCCTTGAGCAGAGCTTAGATCTGCCAGTCTCTGGCCGGTCAGGAACTGTCAAAGTACAGAGCCTACTTTAGTCTCTTATTGCAGACCCTGTTATGCACAACACCTAACAAGGGATTTTAGACCGCAAACTCCCAACAACTTTCTCTTTCCAATACAATGAGCTTGTCACCACATCGTGGCTAGGCTATGGTACATACACCGAAGTGTGTGGGTTGATGACTGCTGCAATGATACCCAATACTCTAACGATAGGTGCTAGAAGCTTAAAGGTACTGATGATATACAGAGATACAGACTCTGAAGCCAGTCGGCACGACTCGGCAGCTGAATAAATAAAAGATTGGTTATCAGTGATTGGTTATCATTAGTCATGTATATTTGCACTTAACATGTTTAATACATGTTTGATATATATATTTCAAGGTGATACCAAGTTACCAACTCATTATATTGCTCTTCTCTACATGCATGTGTTTAATTCTCGATTGATCATAATTCTTTCCCAATTTTCCCAGTTTTTCCCCAATCATTTCCTACATATTTTGAAGAAAAATTGGTGAATTTAGAATGATCTTGTGTAAAAAATATCTTAAACACAATCATTTTGCTTGTTGCCCAGTGTCACTGACTGCATAGACGACGGCTCACAAAGACAAGGGCCTCCCCTATTTCTATGAATTTGATGATACATGACATTTAAGTTAAGCAGTTTAAAGCTTAGACCATAAATTGGGCTTTGCTGTCAAGGAACTTAACCCATTGCATACCAAGCTCACGCAGGGACAGTGTTGACTCAAGCCAGGGTTCATATGGAAAGTGTGTGTTTACTGTGTTATATCAAAATCAAATTGCATCCAATAAGTTAAGATATGATTTTCATAGAGAGGTCCCTGACATCTCCATGGTTTATCAAGGTTGATTTATGCCATAGCATTGAGATAATTTTTTTCTTCTGAGATACATACAATGTACTGCTATTATCTAGTCATGTTTGCCAGAGGTTTGTCCACACACATCACCAGTAGCGGTATTTACTGTATGGGACAGAAAAACTGGATCTGATGTTTCATTGCAAGTGTTTGAAAAATCCATCTACCATTAATGCCCCAGTCCTACTGCCAAATCGACTGCAAAAGGAGTGATAAACCAACATTATTGGTCGTTTACGGTAATGCATGTTTTCTTCACTTTATTGCATATCTGGATCAAGTCGGTCTTGAGATGCGCCTGTTCAGATATACAAAGCAAAACCACAGTGGGTTTGTTATGATGACATAAATGTAATACCCTTCACAAATTCCCATGTTCTGTATCTTATAACACGGATCTCAGTGAATACGTGCAGGTCTTTTGTTGCATGCAGTTGCGATTCATTTTCATGTTAAAATACTGCGGGTTGTTTTTTGCTGACCGTTTATCATGCCATATCTGAACGAACCTTTACTGTGAGAACAAGCTGTAAGATGGAGATGGATATTGGCAGTGTATTACCTCTGATGGCATAATGTGATGTCTTGTTGGGAAACGTCCTTGGTAGACGACACATTGACTTTATCATGCCACATTACTACTGTATGTCAACAGTTCATCGGCACTTAGATGGCACACATGGTATACATTTTGTTGAGCATATATAGGTAACAAAATTGAGAGGGGGGGGGGGGGTGATATATGTATCGGACCCAATAATAAAAATACTAAAGGGTAAAGAGATTATATATTTGAATTCAGATATAGGGGATTTAGTATTATTGGTCCTGACTTGTCCATCTGCCAAACGCTATGCATAATTGAATTGAATTCAAGGACTTTTTCTAAGCAGTTTCATTCATGAATTAAATATGAGAGGTACGCACATGTAACAGTCATTTCCTCACTTATAGTATAGGCCTATATCATTTTCCCCAACTTTGGCTATGCCTGTAACAAATAATTTGATAAGAGGTTGTTGTTTTTATTTATCAAACAGTCAATTATTCATATGTTTTGGTTCAATTATGCTATGATGTGGCATCAAAATTTGTTTCTAAAAGGTTAAACCTATTTTGAGTTACATTTTAGAATATATCATGGCACAAAAGTCAAGAGTCCTATGTAAAGTTTTGACCTTAGTAAATGATGCTGATGATGATATGAGGGCTTTTCAAAAACAATTCTTTCATGAAGCAATGTTACTACATGTATAATGTTCTTCCACTTCAGAATGAGAAGAAGAAACCTTTCCAAATTATTTTTTGCCTTTACAAGAATGAAACCTTCCCTTTAAGCTGAGGTTGTTTGCGCAGTTTATCTTGTCTATAAGTAAGTATAGTGCTACAGTCTCGCTCGCTTGCTGCATTTATTACTGCCAATAGATGACAACTTGCCTGCATTATTCATTAACAGTGTCACGAGGGGAGTTAAGGCGAGAATGGGAGAGCGCTAAGAACCTGCTCTGAATGTTTATGCTTTCATTAGACCATTTGAACATGGTAGGCAAATGTAGCAATCTTATTTCAAATGAAATCTCAATGCATTCAAATTAGGGGATGTTTCTTATCTGGCAATCTACTACATTTTCCACTGTGAAGTGACATAGTGTTTGCACCAGTTGTTGCTAGGTCAGGCAAGCCTTTAACAAGTTTTATGTGAGAATCAAAGGATGCCTATTGATTTAAGATTGATGACAGAGTCATTTTCAACAGATTATTAATGATATCCCGAATTATACAGAATATATATGTTTATCCTTGAATCTACTTAAATTAAAATGAGATCAAGTACATTGATATTTGTAGTAAAGACTCCCTTTGCCAAAACTTAAAACACTGGTTATCAAATCGCATTCTATGATATAATGATTTTGCCAAGCCCTACATGTAGGTAGAAAACTAGATCAATGTACATGTATATTTGTAACGACTTTAATTAAGAGAGATTTAATTGGGGAAGAAAATGTGATATCTGATTGTAAATGTAATAGCTTAACGTTGTGATTAATGTTTACTCGTACACTTTTAACAATATTACAATGTACTTAACAGACAACTAATTGGCTTAAACTCAATTTATTCTGATAAACCAAAACTTGGTCAACATAGCAACAACAAAAATTCCAGTCGATGTCTTTAGAAATTTGGAAAAAACAGTAGACTAGTATTAAAGCTCATGATTAGACATTGTTCAAGTATTTTGTAGTTTCACAGATATCTGGATCAGTAAGACACTGAGTGTTATCTGACGATGCTGGTAGGTGTGAACGTGATCTGATTATGGCATGGTAGCTTCTCACATCTCAAGTGTATAAGGGAGAGGGATGTATTACCGACGAAGAAGAGCTTGTTAACATTGAATCTACCGTATGTCAGATACCTGGCAGTCATGCTGTAACACAAGTAAGAGTGTTATCATCGTTAGACTCAGCACTCCAGGTTTTTATCCAAAAATAAATGTTAAAATATAGGTCTACATGTTGTAATACAATCAAGATTGATACATACCTAGAGATATATCTCTGAGGACTGATACCATCGTTTAGACTAGCTTGGCACTCTAGGCTTTAATCACAAAATATTGAAATGTTATGTACCGTATAGCCCTACATGTTGTAACACAAGTCGAAGTGTTACCATCGTTAGACTTCTTACTCCAGACTTTTCCCCAAAAGAAATATCTTGATGTAAAGGCCGATTAGATCCCACATATCTCTATGAAGTACATGTAGTTGAGGCTTTATACATGTGATCCTATTCTAAAATAGGTTTGTTAAAAGTGCTAGATCCCACCATGGTTTGGTTTAAACACTTGCATACAGTCCGGTGTTTGTGAAATTCCCCCTTCGATCCAGTGTCATGTATTAAGTGTTTGTGAAGCGTCCAACAATTTAAAAAAAAATAAAAAAAATAGCATATTTGTTCATGAGATATATTTTAATTTGTTTAAAAATTATCAATTTATTTGCTATTTTTACTGCAATTTTTCATTCTGTTTTTTTCATTGTACATGTTCACTGTATACATGTATATATGTGTTCAAGAGTGTTTACATGTTGTATGCTCATTGTAGCTGTTGGCAGATTTAATCGTTGCAATCTAATTGAACTTGTTAACGGTGCGGCATAATTTCAATTTAAGCTTGTAACAGGTGCCGTGTTAAAGTCTCATCTATGTAATACCTATGCTCTATATCCACCCACGTATTACATTAACATGTGAGGACCAGCCGGGAGGGTGTTTACCCTGCATGAGTATTATGTTGATCAATGGGATTTTCACTATGAATTTCACTTACACAAATTCCTTTAGAGAAATGATAATTAAAAGAAGTTTTTTGTTTCAATTGTCACCAATTAATATACCTTGCTCTTTTGTATACCATGGTTGTAACCTTTAAGCCTGTGTATTAACAAGGCACATTTCCTGATTTTACGAGGGGGGGGGGGGGGCATGACGTTACTTACTGCTAATGAACAGACAGGTTGTATCATTCAATATTTTGATAAAGAATGATATTTCTCAGTATTCCAGGTAGATAAAGAGCTTTTTAGTTGATCTTTTCCACGAGTTCAAATCTTCTGGAGAAGTTCCTCAGACAATTGTTTTAACTACTGAGAACAGTACTCCCTTGTGTGCTAGAGCAACAATATTCAAAAGAAACAATCCTTGGCAATTTGTTCACATTTCTGGTATTAAAAACAGATGGTAGAATAATTATTTCAAAGGAAACACCGGTAGGTAAACTGTGGTTGGTTATTCTTGAATGTATGTAAATGTTCTCTCTTTTCCTTTTCTCTCATGTATGCACCAGTACACAATAGAAGTACCGGTAGCATATCATCTGTGTCTACCTAGTTATATTCAATGATTTAGGTACAAAGACATGCCCTTTTTATCTTATACTCTAATTAGATTGAAAATATCTGTTCCTTACAATTTGGTCATGGTTGGATGAATATTATCTGTATGGTTATGTAGTCCATATTCAGTTTATTCACAATGTAAGAAAGCATAATCATACAACTCTGTTACTGCTTACATACCGGTAATCAAAAATGGATCTCATGAAGAAAAATTAATTTAGAAGTATATCAAATTATCCATGAATTTGTAGACATTCAAGCACATCTATATTTTGCTTTGGTTTTAATACATGTTTGAATTGTGAAACTGGTCTTTCTATGGTTTACGGAATCACAGATGTCGGAAGTTGATGTAAAAAGTTATTCTCAGATCTTTGTTGACAATATGTTATGTCTATAGTATGCAAGTAGATACTCTATATGGTCAGAGTTTATTAATCTTCTTGCACCATTATATTAGATGTGAAGGTATGTTACAGTGTCCAATACCATATACATGTTACATGCTTTGGTCTGTATTTTGCTTACATGTATTGTGCTTATGTTGTTTGCAAATATTACTTTTGCTCTGTTAAAGAGTGAATGTTACATGTAGTTATGAAATGGATTACAAATTTTAGCAGTATCTTTTTTTCATTCTAAACTCATCATTATCACCATAATCATTGAAATGTATGTGATCATAGATGAATGTATAGAACAGAATTCTAAAAACATAGTTCAGTTCAGTATAAAATAGCAAATTGGGAATAAAAATATATAGAATATGCATCATCTTAATTTGTTTAATAAATTATGGTATTGATGAAATTTCCTTTCTTTTTAACATTTATTGCATGAATTTCCTTTATAGAATGTTAATCAACTCACCTTTTGATTATTCAACTTGACCAAAAAAGATATTAAAGTTTAACCCTGTTTCAATATATATAGTTTCATGTCTAAAATAGAACTAATAGTTTATAATAGATTAGCTAAACAGGAATGTTAGAGGCTGCAATTTGTTTGTTGAGTAAAGTGTAATACCGGATATTTTAGCAGGTTATAATCAGAAAATTATAAGAGTCACAAAACATTTTCAATGTTTAGCTAGATACTTTTTGTCATGGTGCATCACGTTTACCTCAAGTCTCGTAAATAAATATAGAAGTTGTATATTTCTGTTCTTTTTGTAGATAAACATGTATAAATGCTCAATTATATTACAGATTGTATGTGGACAAATATCATGTGAAATAAACCAGATTGCTTTATCTAAAATAAACCTTGTGTATTTTTTTTTCACCGATTGCTTTTACACCACACACACTGACAGAAGTAAAGCAGAATGACAACAGACTAAACAAAATAATGCTTTAGCCCCAATGGGCAAGAATTGACACCAAACTGGTACAAATTACAGACCATTTATTTAAAACCTTAATATTTTGTGTAAATCTGTTCTCTATTCCCAATAAAAGGTAGAACTAATTTGTAGACTATGGGACAGGGGGGGGGGGGGGGGGGGGTAGGAGCATGATGCCAGTTATTCCTGGCCATTTCAGTCTTTCATGCTTCCACGATTTAAGCACGCATGGGGTTCCAAACTGTAGGTTTTGATATGGATATCTGTAGAATTGGTGTGCCTTATAGTCAAGGAAGCACCGATTATGAAAGAGAATGAAAAGAATTCAATATTTAGACCCAAGATGTACTACTTCGCACTACTTGTGTCGGTGAATACTGCACGAGTCCTACAATGTTGTGGTTTAAAAGAAAATTTGATTTTGTATCATTGATCAGAAAAAGGCAGGTGGGCAGTGTCCGATTTTGTTTTGGTGTGCATCTCTTCTCCCTCTCTGCCTCTCCCCATTTCTGTCTCTATCTCTCACTTTTTCTCGCCTCTCTTTGCAACCTCATGCTCTACGCTCTTCATTCTTTGATTTTCCCTTTCCATCTGTCGTTCTTTCTGCCCTTCTCCATTTCATTCTATCACTTCCCTACGGCTACCCCTCCATCCTGTCTTCCCCTTCTTTTCCTTGGAACCTTCTGATCATGTTTTCAAGTACTAGCATTATCATCACCACCATCATCACTTTATTTTCAGTTAAAAATGTTTGATACCTTTAAGGCACCTTGCAGTATCTGGTGTTTTCTTCACAATATCTTCACACTTTTTCAAGAAACACCACCTCATAACTTCCATAGGCAATATTACTGGCATGTATTTTGATACTTTTATCTTCCAATTTATCCCAAATTACTTTGAACTACCGAGACTGAATTTAAAATGTCTTAAACAAATGGCTTCAAATCAAAACCATGTCTCGACACATGGCTTTCCTGTGTGGGTTCAAAATCCAAAATTCAGAGAAACCTTTGCTTCTGCAGGATGACTAATTTCCTTCCTTTTCATGCAATAGAGACAATTATGATTTCATGTTGAAGGGAAGTCTACCCTGATACAAGTATCAAGTTGATTTGAAGAAAAAATGTGAAGAATAAAGGTAAGCAACTTCTGATTCTTGAGTTTTGATAGATCACTACACATTAGAAAACACAGTTATCATCATTTATCACAAGTGGAGATTACCTTTCAAACAAACACTACACAATAAAACAACCATTATCCAATGAAATAAAGGAAGACAATTACTCATAGATGAAGATTTAATTTCCATTTGTTTTTTTGTATTTTTTATTGATTTTTTATTTTAAGGTTTTAATTGGTCTTGCATACATCTCCTGGTATTAATACATCTTAATAACTCCACAGTTCCGAAGAAGAAAAAAAAAAAAAATGGGTTTGTCACATGTTGAACAGTCATGGACCCAATAGAAAACTTAAACAGTGCAACCTCAATGTACAAGCAGTCAACTATATACCATACATATCATACCATTCATGGGCCTTTCAACAATACTTACTTTCCATTACCACAATAAAAGAAAACTACTTTTATTCCTTCCCTTCATCTCAGATGCAATACCAACCATTTTCATTTATCACTACAGCAATCACACCAAAATTAGAGGAAATCATAACATGTGGAAAACAGATAAGAAATTGAGGAACAAGGGAGATTAAAACGATGTAAATTGAAGTTAACTTGCAACTTTGCATGTGCACATTTTTTTATTTTTTTTTGCCCGAAGTTTCTACCCATGTGAGAAATGTACATTTGTAATCCACACACTTAATCACATAGCAGTACTTTGATGTGAGGTAAAAAATCATTAGAGTAAGCTAGGCTTCATCACCAGGCTTTTTGTGAGCAATTGTGGTATTCATAGTACTGTTAGTGGCTCACATAACACATTTAAACCTGTAATTGTACATTTAAAGAGTGCTGGTGATCAGAGTCTAACGAAGCCCAGGTTGAAGGCATTGAGTTTGGTTTTGAAGACGATGACTTTGAATTCCATATAAAATAACATCAGAACCTCACCTTGTTAACAGCAATGTGGCAAACATTTAACATAGAAGGGAATACATCATCTATTCATAAACAGAAGGGTGCTGACTCGTAATGCCTTTCTTGCTCTGAGCAGACGATTTCACAAAAATGATAGCGAGAGTTCTTCAATCTTGAAAAGCAGGTGCTACCTCTCTTTCAAATGATCAAAATATTCTAAAGTAAACAAATCCCAACATAAACATCATAGCCTGCAATTCTGAGCGAGGTCTAAGAAGCATCCTCAACATTTAAAACAAAATCACAATTTATTAGAATGCAACCCCAGATTCTACTACCGGTATGTATTACTTCTCGTGCTCATTAAAAAACAAAAACTGAACCATTTAATCCATTGATGTTGATAATAGCATACCATTTAGAGGTAGTAGATGGATGATGTAAGCCCATCCTTCTCCTTTAGCTTTTTAATAAAATATGTTATTCCCAAATTTTGGGCATGAACCAGCAAAACAGAACCACAGAACAATTATCGGCTTATAAAATAATTTGCCCTGTATTTTTATTAGTTTTCATAACTAAGGTTCCAATACAAATGTAGGTACAGTATTGACACTTGTCTATACTTTTGACGCTTACACTTCTAATTTTAGGGAACTTGTAATTCAACATAACTGCATCTTTTTGCATTGAAATACCAACAAGCAATCGTGATCCATTTTAAAGGACAACTAATAAGTTCTTGATAACGTGGACTGTTCAAATGCACACATGGGAATCGTTATTTGTGAGTTATATGAACAGCAAGTTTTAAATCCCTAAATGGATTAATATCTCAATGACAGTCAAATGAAATACTCACAACATTACTATGCACATCATAGATAAAGGTTTAGAATTGCACAAATGTGGTCCTTTTTCTTTTATCTAACTCTACACATTTCCACTTCATGTTTGCTTACCAGTTACTACACGATACGTCTTCTCTCCATTTCTATCTTTTATTGAAGAAAAAAGAAACTCTGCTTTCAGATCTATGTTAATCTTAAGAGGGGACAAATCATCTAAGTCCATCACATATGCTCATCAAAATAAACTTATCCACTATCTTGGTATAATTTTTAGACAGTTTGGTTTTTGCCATGATTCAGGGCTGATGGGTACAAATGATGTTACTGTTTAGGTTAAAAAAATCAGACTAACAAATGCCAATAAAGATTTATAACCTAATAAGAACTCAAAAAGTAAACACAAAACTAACCTTATCGTTGAACAAATAATGTTCACAAGTTTTGCTTATGTTCAACCATAACTAGAATGCCAGCAGACCCTTGTCAAAACAGAAATAGTGCACATAGGGGGTGGTTTCAATTTGAGCTACATGTATCACAGAATATATAACATGTTGATTGCCAAAGTCAAGCACAAGCCGTCCAGAGGCCCGAGTGAGCTGATCAAGGCACCTTCCCAATTAATTACTCTTAGTGAACGATGCCAGCAATAATCCACTACAGATTACAATTTCTTTCTACTTTGCCATTCGTATTCACATTAAATGGTTTTTATTTTGATGCTGCATTTCTTTTGTAATGTTGTTTACCATGTCATGACTGAGAGGGCGCTAAATGGGTTTTATGGTGAAACCTCCTACAAAGCTCACTTGGCTTATAAAAGACATCCACTCAAACACTACTTTCAAACCATGAACGGTTGTGTGCATGAAGCAAGTTTCACAAGTGATAAGTGAGCATTTCATGCCACCAAATTTAAAAACAAGATTGAATCAAAATAAAATACAGTCAAACCCTGTCTATGAAGGCCACCCACGAGAAACCCCCCAAAATGACCTCTAGACAGTAGACTAGTGGCCTTTCTAGAGAATATCTTCAACACACATTTTCTACTAGTGGGAAATTATATGTGGCCACTAAGAGAGGTGCAATTTTGCAATATGAAAAATTATCCTGCTTAAAAAATAACGATAATGGTTCATGAAAGTGTCTTGTTTTACAAAAAGCCTGCATCAATGCAGCATGAGCACACAAACACCTCTACATGCTATGTGCTGCTGTTTTGAACTTGGCTTGGCAACTGATAAGTTTTGTATTGTTTACAGGCTACTTGCCAGACCATCCACAAACTAAAATATGAAGTAAATTATGATTATGTAGAGGAAGATAAAAATATCTCAAGATGTTGAGGAAGTTTATGAAGAAGGGATAGATGATTGAACAAAAAGGAACAAATGCAAGAAGAAGAGGAAGAAAATCTTTTCCTTTACCCTTTTTGGAGCCTCCTCTGGCTAAACGGGAATACTACAGGTAGAGTAGATTCCACAGACACCTCTTAAAAAAGCATTGACTTTTATTCTAAAGGATTCTGAGAGCATTCCTGAATTTTTATGTTAGAATTCAAAATAAGATGTAGATGAAATTATACTGTGAGGGGAAATAAAAGAATTTTAAATTTGACCACTTGCTATGTCACTGGCCTATCCGTGATGTATTCCATACTGAATTTCTATCTAATTCTAGGCTATTATTAAACGTACACGAAAATAATCATTGTGATAATCAAGACATGAACATGGACGGATTAATGTTCGCTTGGACATAGTTTTGAATATAAACATCGACACAGTGACAAATTACATTTTCTATCTGATGCTAAAAACAATGATAAGGGGGGTGAAGAAATTGGGACGTAAATGTTATGCAAGTATTTCTTGCACTTGTGGCAATGTAGTCAAACCTGTGCAGTGATATATCATTCCTAAATCTGTATTCCATGACTTTCCCTAAAACAAATCACAATCTTAATAATATTCCAATAAAATGTCCTTGTAGTAAGCATCTTCATAAAGACATAAGAATGCTTTGTTATGTTTGTGTTTATGTCCAGATAAGAATCCAGTGGTCTATTTTAGTGCTCTTGTTTTATTTGTGAAGAAAGTTATTTCTAATTGTAGATTTGTTACATTGAAATGATATACTGCCATACGAACCTCATTTTGTTAAAATATTGTTACTTACAAAATTCACTCAAATTCAAAATGGTGCTAGTTTCAACTCCTCACAATTAACTTGAGATGTTATTATCTAAGAGAATAAAGTGCTAGCTTCAACTCCTCACAAGTAACTGTTAGATGTTATTATCTAAGAGAGTAAGGTGCTAGCTTCAACTCCTCATAAGTAACCTTAAGCTGTTATTATCTAAGAGAATAAGGTGCTAGCTTCAACTCCTCACAAGTAATCTTAAGATGTTCTGCACAATTGACTATTAGGGCTCTTTGTAGGTGCACCAGTCTGTTCAGTAAACACCAAAGATTACTTTTCCCAAAAGAAAGAGGAGGTTCGTTCAATGATTATTAAAGTATGCATATAACAGTTCTATTCTTTGATTAGTATGTGAATAATGAAGAATTTAAAAACATTTGAGCATGAGAAATGCTATCCGAAAGTTGAGCTTTATTTAAATTTTCTTTTCAGAAGATTAATAAAATATTATTTAACTCTTGGAAGAAAAAAAAAGGAACATGTCCATTGTGTTTTTGATCACTTTGTAATATCTACAGAGTGTCTACCTCAGTGCTTAATTCTCTTGCTAGTAGCATAATAATTCCCAAATTGAAGCAGCTTGAATTTTTTTTCTTCAACTACTCTGAACCAAAGTCTTACCTCAGCGGGCCTTGAAGCATATTATACGACATGGAGACAGCAAATGATAACGGCAGAAAAGAAACCATGCGATAGAAAGGATGAGCTAGCGAGCGCTCTTTACGATTAAATCCTTCGCGTATGCATTGAAGGTTACAGTGTAGCAAGCCATCACTGCGACATACCTACCAAGATACTACAACAATTACGACAACATTCGCATCTCGTATCGTCTCTTATCAATTCTTTAAAAAAAATATATAGGCGATCTTGTCCATGCTATCTATAGATCATGTGACTAGTCAGGTGACTGATCAGGTGACTATGATGGAATGTTTCCATTGTGGATACTAGAGAAGGAGAGGAAATCATCCTTGAATTGATGACTGACGTAGAAGAGGATGTACGCCTTACACCTGGTGATCACCTTCTCCTCTACGGGGGTCACTGTACTATCGTTGAAGCAGTACCACTGACCTGTATGTGTGTGGAAGGCAGAAAGAGAGAGAGAGAGAGAGAGAGAGAGAAATGATGAGAAAATGATTATGTTTGATACATGGCAAATCAGGAATTTCAGCAATACAAACACTATTGAAAATAATATCGCTAGTGATATTCGTTCGTCTCGCAATGTATGGTCAACAAGGGATCTAAAAGATCACAATGTTTTGTGTGCCACTGCAACACTTCGTCAGGTGATAAAATATGATGTAAGCAAGCAGTGTTTGCAAATATCTGCAGCATTCTCACTATAGACTTTATGATTACATCCAAGACCGTCATAAGGATCACATAAATCAGGATATTCTATCTGTTAAAGGAGAAGGCAATGGACATAATTTCTGTAGGAATTTAGTTGGGTTTACATGTGCAAATGATTGTGGTAGGAGCAAGCCCTTCCAATTTTTCACAGTATCTGTCATACATATCTGCAGTACTTTTAGTCATGGCAACCTGCCATTCTGTCCTACCCCAAAACTAATAATTGATACACCTCAGAAAAATAATAAATTACTCCTTTTCAATCATTTAAATCATTCTTGAGCTCTGGAAGAATATACTCATTCTGAAAAGATATTATTAATATTTTTTTTTTAATATGATAGATTTCTTGTCTTGGGACACAAAGAAGATAATCTGACATTACGCATACTCCAGCAACAATTGCTCTAGGCTCCATTTCATCAAAAGTATAGGGTTAGGGTTAGGGATGCATTTAGGGTTAGGCATATTGTTTGATCCATGGTTGATGTAAAGCATTTATTTAGAGTTAGAAGTATAATAATAATAATAATAATCCGCTTTTATATAGTGCTTAATACATCTACAATGTCTCTAAGAGCTTTACAGATACGCTACTACCCAGGTCATTGGATTCAATGCTTTCTGGAACACACTGTGTGCACAATCTCCACTCCCTGGGGAGTACTCCAGCCAGTATATGTCATACAACCATACAAAGACCTTGATGATCAAAATGTAAATAATGACTCACCGTTGTTGACTGCAAATGCTATATAGTGTCCAGCACCAGCCCTAAAAAACCAAACCAAACATAACATTTTGTATTAAATATTTTTTGAGGAATAAAATCTGCAAAAAGGGTTGTGCTACACAGAAGCTATTGGAAGTACATGTAAGCAGTGCTCCATATTGACAGGGGGCTGATGAGTATGGGCTCTATATTGCAACTCTGAACACCTCAATTCACATTATAAATAGGTCGTCAGTACACATACAAATTTCAAAGCAGGCCCCTGTGGAGCCCTGTTTCACAAAACTTGTCATCGGTGACAAATTACAGTTTTTGTTATAAGCTACCGAAATCCTTGCTTCTGATTGGTTATCAGCAGATTTGTCACTGAAAAAATGCCGTGTGCAACGGGTCCTGGTGTATTTCATCATCAACTAAATGTAAAATTAAACAATCATTCAATTAATCAGTAGCCTAGAAGAGCCAAAGTAATATCAAGGCTCCTTGAGCATTTTCCAGGGTGGATATATGCGCTATTAAAATATCAAATATTTTATTGTTATTATCAATAAGAAACTAAAATAGAGATCAGTCGGGATAGAATAATTCACAATCACAAAATTTAAAAAAAAATGATGTTAGAGAACTGTCTATTATCCTTTACTAAGTATGCAAGAAACGTAACAGAAAGGGCCAAGACTGTCAGCTCTGTAGGACGTTCTTTAAGTTCTTGGCTGATTGCATGTGGGGCTTTCAATCAAAGCTAATAATGACTAGTGAGACTCCCACTGCAATTTAAAGCTCATACGAGCTACAAGGATGACAGAATGTGCAACAGTCATAAATTACATCATACATAATTTACATGAAAGTCTAGAAAAGGAGAGATAACTTGCATACGATTTTCAAGGCCATTTAAAGAACTTTGGAGGAGCAATAAACACCAAATAATGGAAGAAAAAAATGTCTGTTGGCAAAATATATTGAAAACTTAAAAGAAATCTAGGAGCTCCAATATACTATGGAAACATCCTTTCACAAATCAATGTACTTGGTAAATACATTTGGTGGGTCAACGAACAACGTAAATTGTCAAAATTAGCTTTTACCCTTACTAAACAATCTACCAATATTCAAATTAATTTCTTTGCTTCCACAGAGCCCCTTGTGAAAATCTAGCATATGTTAGTTCCTGCTTTATCCAGCAATCTAAGCTCATTTTGCTTGAGTTTTCAGAATCATGAGTTTGTTGTAGAAAAGAGAAGGATATGATAACAGGGAGTGTTTCACAAAGAATAAGATCGACTTTAAGTGGACTTAACTATGGCAGGCAGTTCATGCCACTGTTTGCTCTAATCATTTACTGGCATTGGTCTCTGAAGGGACGTATAAATCGTGGCCGCAAATCTACAAAATTTACAATTTTTGATAGTTCATTATTGAAGGAAAAAATATTATCTAAAGATCACAATAGAGAGACCAATAGTGAGAGCAACCAGTGGCATGAATGGCTGTCATAGTCAAGTCCAACTTGAAGTCGATCTTAGTCTTTGTGAACACCCCCCCCCCCCCCTGGTCTTGAAGCAAGAAGACTTACCCTGATCCTTGATGTACAATGACTGCAGCTAAATCATAAACGGTTGTGCTCACATTCTCATCTTGACACTGTAAAACAAAGGCAGTAAAGATGTAACAGTATGAATATTATGTTAACTAATGGATTATAATACCAAACTAAGAAAAGTAACTTGATGGTAAGTAACTAGGGGACCTACAGCTTGAAGTCCAACCCAAGAACATAGTAATGAGGTTTCAAAAGGGCACTGTTGACTTGATTTGAACCTGGGACTTCCCAGTTACAAGATTACTGCTCTCTTGCTGAGTCATCTAGCTCAAGCACTACTTATTCACTCCTACAATCATTTAAAATAGTCTGTGATGGTGTGTTTGGATAATTGTCAAGTTATTTAGGAATTATTTTTTACTTAAATATTTCACGAAATTAACAGGAATCAACATCCCACAGTTGAGTCAATTTTTGGCTAAATTTGTCTTTATTGACTCGTATAATGAATGAAATGAGGTTTTGACACATGCAAGGAACAGCTGACTTGACTTTATAGACAGCAAAATTTAATCACAGTCACACATCCTTTTCAGACATCCATTTTTATTCAGTTGAGGAAGAATTAAGGGAGCAAAATTAAACCCCTCGAAAGTGTTAAGAGCCCCAAATTCGTAACAAATTTAATGGCAAAATTTCAGGGGCTTTAAGCATTTTTATGAAGTGTATCGCTCAGCCAAATGCAAAAAATCCTAATTTCCTACATAAAACTCACATTTTCTTTGCATATAATGCATAGTGTTTGTTCTTGATCTAAGGTTTTCTTATTGCAAGGAACTATAACATTTTGAAAGATATGAAGAAGTTACATTTGTTGTTCCTATCACATTTTGAAGAAGAAATCATCAGCAAAGAGACAGAAAGGCATCAAGACTATGGACAATCATATGTGCCCATCTGTGTCTCATAATGCACGAAGCCACTGCTTTGGTGATCAGATATGGTTGATCTCTTACCTCTGGTCCCAGCATGAATGGTTGTATATCTAAGCCTTTCATTGGAAACTGCACATAGGTGTCAATCTTGGTTCGTAGAAACCCTGACCATGTGAACCTCTTTAGATGTATACATAGCACCTAGGGGAAAAAAAACATGCAACATAGCCTTGTTTGATTCTGTTGTTCTTTCTTTCCCTACTTTATTATTCTCCCTCTACAAACGTTTGTCCCTCGCATTATCTGTCCCAAGTTCTCGACACTACCCAACATCTAACACTATGAGTATGTCATATCATGTTACATGAAATCTATTTCATTTTATATCATAAGCTCTTCAAAAGAAAGGTCTCTGTTATGATTTCCCAAAAGTAACGAGCAACAAGACGGGACATGTCAAAGTAGCAAGAAAATAACAGGTGATCTTTGTTCATCATCTAGATACAGACCGATTCTTTTCATTTGAAATACAATGAACAGGTACAGAGAAAAAACAAACAAAAACAGAGTAGAAAACATAAGTTTGATCGCAATCGCTACCCCCTCCCCCTCTCCTTGACCTTTATTACTCCACAAGTACAGTCAAACCTGTCTATAGCAACCGCCCAAGGGAAACACAAAAAGTGGTCTTTGCAGACAGGTTCCTTTAGTACATGTTTCAATGAGAAATTGTTTTTCAAGGGAAACCAAAAATGTGGTCTTTGTAGACAGGTGGTCACTAAAGCAGGTTTGACCGTAACACAAGTATTCTGGAGTTTATAAACCAATCTGAAATAAAGTAAATCTACAGTGTAGAATCAAGTTAAGGGGCTAATTTGCCAATCATTAGTAGATCATCTCACATTTGGGATAGCTTTGAGCCAGAACTTCTTTGTTGATGGTTGTCTCTGTTGACACTTTGGACACATGTACTGCTCTGTTTCCTCTAGCTCCTCAACCGCAATGAAACTCTGCATACAATCTGCATACACCAACCAAACAAGACATATAGTCATTCAAAATCAGCTTTAAAAAAAAAAATCTCACATCACTGATGTATTGTCAACACAGCTACAAGCTCTATGGGACAAATTTTAGTGACATGTAAGTATTTATACGTAGTAAGTAGTGTGATTTGACAAATAAGACACAAATGAATGTTTGTTCAACTTCTGGGGGGATAGGAGAATGGAGCAAGTCCCACACACCCTGGACCATATTTTTACAGCAGTGACTAAAACTGAGGTTATGATTAATAACATTTTACACCTCAAATAACAATAAGAACTCTTTCACTCACATGAGCTTCTGTGGATTTCCTACAGTACAGGTGAGAATTCCTCACAGTGATTTTAATAATAATAATAGTGGGTTCTTATATAGCGCTCATGTTTGTCAGACTTGACACTCCTGGCGCTTATGCTGTTGATGTTTAACTGCATCTTTGTCCTCTTTTCTTTTACTTAAAACATGTGTACTTGGGAACTTTCATGAGCTAAATCACAACGTTTCTCATTTACTTTTCACTGGTTCCATACAATAGACACAAGGTTTCAACCACTCAGTTAACTGTTTGACAAACTAGGACCAGACTCCAGGACTATGGCAGTTCTTGTCTTACCTTGTAACCTACATACTTGTGAACCATCCTTGTTTTTACTTCTTGGTCTAAATCTCTCTGGAATATCTAATGACACATCTAAAGAATCGGATAAAATAAGGGGAGAAAAAAGAAATGAACCATAAGAGCTTCAGGAGAATCCAATTCACAGAGGAATTTCATGTATTAGTGAATTGATACAACAAATTCAAAATTAATCACAAGTTATATAAGAATGAAGGAAATAGATAATCATTCTTCCAAACCATATATGCTCACCATTTTATCAGAATTCAAATTGATGTTAAGGATGTGATGTTTGAACATAATGAATTAAACAGGCTCAATCACAAATTCACACATGGATCTGACACTAGCTTTACATCCTCTCTGGGGCACCAGGTAATTGATGTTTCAACACCTAACCCACAGGAACCAGTCAAGGGGACTCTGTTTTCACAGACCCAGTTCAGAAATGCGGCTTCTCTAAAATGGCTACTTCTAATGGTTCCTTGGGTGGCCTTTATAAAGAGGTTTGGTAGCTCTCAAAGCAACACAAGTTAAATGCCACCAATCATGCTGTCAAACCTAGTCACCCTGGTAATGGATCTTTCTTCCTTTAGAGGGTACCACGGATCTACATGATTTGGGAATTAATCCCTGATAACTTAGTGATGAAACTATCTCCTAAGGTGCCCATAATGCTCAACAAAAAACAACAAGAAGATTCATTTGCTTTCTAAGTATTACATGTGCTTTCTAAGTATTACATGTCAAATAAACATCCACCATGCCATCAAGCCCCTGCCTACCTAGAAATGGATCTATCTTCTTGTAGAGTGAGCCACAGGGTCTACACGTGACCTCACTGAGTAGAAGACCACCAAAGATGAGACTGACAATGGTTGCATGGCCGTTGGTTTGTTTCTTTGGTGTGGTCGGCCAGGTGGAGCCTTGGAGCTCTGTGTGTAGTCTGTCTAGTAGGTACCTCATGAACTCATGAGCGTCTTGCTGCTGGTAACCCCTGCAAGCATATACATAAAGGGCGATTTGGTAATGGAAAAATTAACATTTTAACAACATTTTCTAGCCTACCAACTATTCAAATACTTGATGAAAATGTGTTTTGTTGTTATTTCCAAATGATACCGCAAAAAACATTAGTGAATAGTCCTATGAAGTCATGGAATATACAGTAAAGAGTCATATGTTATCTTCGACACAGAGATGCCCCATAGGCAAAATTCCCATTTATAGGAGGCGCGATAGCTGAGTTGGTAGAGCAGTGGTCTCGTAATCCGGTGACCAGGGTTCAAAACCAAGGTGATGCGCTAGTGCCCTTTGGTAAGGCATTAATCCTCATCCCCAGGTCCCTCGGAGAGGACTTAAAGCCGTCGGCCATCTGGTTGCTTACTAACAAGCATGGACGCTTTCTTAGGAGTCAGAAAAAATAACCACCACCACCACCAATGAAGCGATCTGATGGTGTCGTTTACATAGAATCTTCTTACCTGAACCTTGGGAATATCTTCCACATGACAGTGAAGAGTGAGTCAGGTGAGATAGCTGTCTGGTCCCCCTGCCATAGAGCACATAGTGTCTTCCTTATCTCCTCTACCAATGACCTAGAAGTACAACAAACATATTCAAGGTTTAATTATCAATTTTACATAATCAAGAAAACATAATCTACTTATATTGAAGAAAATGCTTAATATAATATGTTCAGCGCCAGAATGATGTTAACTTGCATCATTTGGCATACAGGTGATATTCTTTACAGTTTGATGAAAGAACTGCATTATATCATATTTTGGGAGCCAGAAGGGTATAAATCAATATAATATTGCAAAGAGTTAAATCCCTTCCTCTCAGCTCTCAGCAGACAATTACGCACCTCACGGAGGGTATGAGCAATGAGATTCATACAGATTACATAAGTTTGCAAAGGGTAATATCATAGGGTGTGAACCATCTAGGCTGTAGACTAACACTTACAAACAGTGTAACTTTGTGCAAGACCCTTATGGTAAAAGTATTAAACACCAACAAGGCAAACTTGGTTAAAATAGATGGAAGGGATGTATACAAAACTTTTTTAATAAACATACCGGCAGCCCTTGTATGGCATCTGTCTTCTTCTTTTTCGTTTTCTTTTTTAATTCTTTGATCCAAGCATTGTAAAGCTGGTTTAGGCTTTATGCATGGCTATATCATCCTAAAAATTGATATATCCCATGTCTGCTGCTACTTTTGGGTCGGGAGTGAATCTCTTAAGGTCCATGTACATGTACATGTATACTGGCACAGGAATTCTGTTAGTAAAGATCACTGGCTAAAATTGTAACCTCCGAACTATAACAAGTCCTTCTTTCACTGTTATTGTGCAGTTATTCATTTAGCGTTTTCTCTTTTCAGTTCATTCTCACAACTTTTTTATATCATATTCAAAGCGATTTTCCATGTACTCTCATACAACCTTCAGAAAAATTAAATGTGAAGTTTAATTTCTCCTACATATGTTTAAAACATTTAATTCTAGACGCATTCCAGCTGTGAGACCTTTTGGGTAAAACATGCTTCATTATTGACTTCCTGGTATGCTATCTGATGTCTTCAGAGAGAGAGCTGGACTAGAAAAGCAGACTTTCAACAGATTATTTTCTCCTTACACAGGATATTACTAAATTTGCAATTAAGTGCAGCATGCCCACATAAGCCAAGTTCTTGATTACAGAGAGACCATCAGCTAGTATGCACTTAACACTCATGGTCACTCTCAAACAGTTCACATTTGGCAGCTGTTTTCTTAACCGGGCGGAAAATAAGTCATTCCACAAAATATCTGCTTTTAGAGTTGAATCTGAAGACCTGCCTATGGGAACTAGAAATTCATTTTCTATGCAAGTAATTTCTCGAGAGTGATATCTATTCCATACATTATATTTCAGACTGCTTACTAAAAGCATCCTGTGTTTCACAAGAGTTTTACAAGAGTGTAATCTTGCTGAAACATGTCTAATAGGTATGGTTTCACTTTCAAATATCAAAATATTCTCCTGGAAATTGAGTATTAGTGCAAAGTATTAGTGAATATCATAACATCTAAGTTAGAAACAGTCATCAATGACTGAGAGCTTGCTGGTTCTGTGTGATAGAGCCTTGTTCATACATAACAATGAAAACCTCTAAAAACCTGCTATGCCAAAATAAAATGACTAAAGCATGCCACACATGCCACATTTCTGTATTTTAGAAAACACAGACAATAAGCAAAAGGACCTCTTTTTAAAATTATCTCCAATTGTCATTCATTTACACCCAAAATGCTTTATTTTGCTGCCTTTGGTTATTTTTAGAAGTTCATTGTGTTATGTGAGAACGAGGCTTAAGTGGTTAGTTAGGCCATTTAGTTGAGTGCTACTCACTCCACTTTGGGCTTTACTACTAAGCACTACTCAGGGATGATAGTGAGAGTTAAATAAAAAAAGATTTAACATTGTTAAACGATGCCTTTCAATCTGGAATTTATTAGGCTTGACTACTGTAAAACAAAAAGCCTTGATGACATGAAACTTTCACAATTTATTTATAATAACCATTTTTAAAGGTCAGGAACTTTTACTTTACAAATTGTACAAATTTAGTGTTTTGTCAATTGCAAATCTGACCCAATAGCGAAATTTGCAAACACTTCATGCATGACAATTCATGACTTGCAGTTTTAATATATGACTCCTTATGTTTTGGAGGTAGAAGTTTATGTGATGTGCTGTTTACCCTCGCCTCAAAGACATGTTGTTAGTAAGATAACTGTAATTTACTAACTTGCTGCTAAACTTGGAGGGATATGCCAAACACTGCAATATCATATGGATTATTCAATGACATGGGGTGATAAAACCTTTCTGCTCTTCATCCCCTGTCTCCTTAAACCTGACTAACATTCGTCAAGATTCCCAGACTCTACAATGGTTTCCATGACAACAAATCTTACTTATCATAGCAGATGATTTGCAAGAAAATTTCCTTACTTGCCGCTGCACACTGGCTCTACAAACATCACTATTCTATGGACTTCAGAAACTGACAATCACGTTTTGATTGATAATCCCAGACCTTATACATGTTACCATGGTAACATGACGATACTTACACATCATCATGCTTCATATTTCTTGTGTTGTAGATTCTCTTTCCTGCTGTTTTTCCACTCCTAAGCTCTACAGCTGGTAAGTCTTTGAAGTAGCCACAGAATTGGTTGATGTTACTACAGGACGTAAAACACAAACAAGGCTCTCATTAATATAACAAGTTTACATTATGTGCTACTTACAATGATTCTAAAAATGTTGAATAAAATTGCCTAAGGTGCATTTCTCAAATTCACAAGTTTTAGTTTGTAATTTTTATTATGCTTTGTTGGCTCTCAACTTCCCATTTGAAGTTTGAATTTCACTTGTATATCACGAGAGCTAATATTATACATTTTAAACATCTAAATCATAGTATTGTCATGATTTTATTTACATTTCTATAAAACATGTGCCTTCCAGGATATTTGCAAAGCATACATGCCACAAGATATTATTTTCTCTGAAGTCCTTTAATGTTCATTGATTGAAGGTGAAGTATCACAAAAACAAGTACATGTAAGCCCGAGACAAATTTAGTTTAAAGGTAATACAAAGTTTTGGAAAATTTTGAAAATTGGGTGGATAGTGATTATTTACAAATTTGATATATTTGGATGCCCCTGTGGATGTATTATAAGCACTAGACAATTTAGCCCCTAAAATGCTTCTGGTTTTGAGATAAATTGAATATACAAATTTACCGGTGCTCCAGGTAAATTAAAAAAAAAATCAAATAGTGCCTACGGCTGTACAATGGTAGCTGCATCCATGAAAATCTCAGAATATGTAGTTGTGATAATATAGTTTCCAAACGGGAATAGCTAATCGGTTGATTTTCGTCATGAAACATTGTTTTATAGCTTAATTAATATCTTGACCTTGAGAGGGAGCTATACAACATAAAGAGTTTATTATTTACAATTTCATAATTTTAGACTCGATTTCAACCGCGACAACGATCACTGAATATTGTAGGATCGCATATGCTTCCAATATGTTAATTTCAACCAAATTCATGACCCCATACCAAAACTTTGTATTACCTTTAACATCAAAACATACCCAAGAGTAATAATAAAATAAACATCGATAATTTTTATTTGTAATGGTACCAATGTCTCATAATTTAAATGAACATAATAGTGCTGTAGTCAAACGTTTAACCGTCCGGTATCCGACCGCCCATGGCGGATTCCGTTTTCAATTGGACGGTTTCGTTTTCCCGATTTTTTTTTTTTTTTTTAAATTTATTTATTTTTTTTTTTTTTTTATAATTTTTTATTTTTATTTTTTTTAAATTTTTTTCAAAGTTTCGATTTATGCCCCTCCACCTGGCACTATGCCTGGCAATGTCTCCCAGCTCAGTAATCTGTGTGTTGACTCACCACTCCAAAACTAGAAGTAGAACAACACTCCAATTTGTCTGTCATCTTGGTTTGAAAGTAATCTTTGTAATAGATCTCATCATCTCAATATGTAGTTTATAATAATAATTCATCCAACTTTTACACAAGGTTCTGTCCTAGGTCCTCTACTGTTTTTAATTTACATTAATGATCTTACACATTCTTCTAAAAACAACATTGTTACTATTATTTGTGACAAGTTCACATGCACAAATCGGCCCCTTTAAATGCACCTCGCAGTTAAATGAAAGTTGCAGAGTCGGTAAAAAAAAAAAAAAAAAAAAAAAAAAAAAAAAATTAATTTTTTTTTTTTTAAAATCGTTTAACCGAAAACCGTCCGGTTTTGACTGGCGGTTAAACGGAATTGGAGATATCCGTGATGTTACAGCACTAGAACATAATGTATAAAACAGGTGGGTTTATAAGAGAAGTACAAATTATATACACTTCCTCTTGACAAATATCCAATTTAGAACTGATTTTATTTTTCATGTTTCATAATGAACCAACTGTACTATTACCCATACCAATAATGCCTGGAATTCTTTGAAATCAATAATCTATAAACCGCAGGCAGCATACTGTACCTCAGTGATTGTAGTACAGCATTCATAAAACAGGTGTTTCCTAGATTCCGCAACCCTGGAATATTAGCCCTCGTCTGCAAAAGATTAAACAAGGAAACACTATGCAATAAGTACAAATGGAATGAGGGTCAAATCCTTGACTCAAATTTCTCTATTCCTTATGTGGGTTAATGAAGCTTGGCCTTCCAATCTACTACATTGTACATAATATTGACAATTATACCTAGTTAAAGAATAAAGTTACAAATAAAACAGAATAACGTTAACATAGTTCATGAGAAGTAAATACCATTAAAAAGCTAGATTTGTGAGTAAAATATCTAACACTGATCAAAAGACAAGTTCCTTTGTTACATGTAATATGTTAAAAATATCAATTAACTATGACAAAGAACTCAATTGCACAAAATAACTAAACAATAATATCTTGCGGCCAAAATATCCAACCTAAGTATTTAGAACTTATAACCGAAAAATTTCTGTTTCACTGAAATGGAATCAAAATGGAATTTACTACAAATACAGAACATAGTCTGACTGGATATGACTTGACTCACGTTTGCTGCTAGTTTTTTCCTAGGTGGTCCATCTATGTGATCTCCAGCTACATCACCAGTTAGAGTCTTGAGCTGCTTCTCATACTGGAGGCTAAAAACAGAGTGATAATCAAAGTTAGTTTATTAATTTATGATTATAACATACTCTATCCCTTATTCGTCAATTAAATGAATAAACAAATAAAGATCACCATACAAACTCCAAACCATCTGATAACTGACAAAAAGTAAGCCATTAAATCTGGTGCTGCAAGGATTCTTACAATTCATAAGGTGGGAAATAACCTAGGAAAAGCAAAAATGTAATACAATTTTCAAATTAAATGGCTTTAATGGCTCTTTGAGAGATCCTCAAACTGCAGAAATGAGGGAATTTTGTGTGTAATAATTATGCAGTATTGCACGAAGCCAAGGCTATACAGTTTTTCCTACATGTATATTTAAAAAGTACTCCCTGTGGTTGCTAGGGAAAGTGTTTTCTACCTATCATCCTATCTCCCTCACTGTCCGCAACACAGCATTATTTAGTCTTCATTAACTTGAGCAATGCTCACATATGACAAGATAAACTGCCTAAAAATTATTGTGACAACAAAATAAAATTGGTGTACAAGTAGTATGCTTCACATTTCTACAATTTATAAAACAAGAGAAAAGTGAGCATGGTTTGGGTCTTTTGGATCTTCATTACATCCATAATGTGTTTTTGTTCAAACGCATTTGCCATTCATTACATTAGAGTGTTTACTTTGCCGTAGTGGTTTTTGCCGCAGTTTATACGAAAAGGCAAAGCACTTTCACTGTTTTCTGAAAGTCAGGGTTATTTAATCAATATTTCATGAATAGAAAGTACATCATACACTTCACGTGTCAAAATGAAGACTGTTACTATTTGCAATTAACCTAATGAAATTTGATATTTTCAATATCATTTGCTTTTATTTAGAAAACAATACCACTTTAATGAAAAAAATTACAACTTCAATAAGTCATTCAATGTATTTAAAATGGAAAATCAAAATTGAATAAAACAATAAATGCATTTCATACACTTACCTTCAAACCGTAGTACATACTGTATACATTTCTGTGTTCCCTACTGTTTTTTCCTTTCTTTTTTTATACACAGATGATGTATAATTTACTGTACATTTTGCTCTAAATATGAAAAGAAAATCATCACATTCAGGATATTAAGCAGGAACAGTATTTAGCTTTGATATGACTGCTTTTGGACCCAATACTCACTTGACTTTAGCCTGAAGGAATTGGCGGACATGTTTGATGGTTTCTGTTTTGTTATCGTTTAGGGCATGGTCATCACACACATAACTGGAAAAACAAAGTGAAACAAGATAAAAAGAGGAAATACAGTACAGAAGAAAAAGATATTCACATATAAAATGATAGTAAACAAATGCATCCATGTGTGCAATCCAATTAATTAGCACAATACGAATGGTACTAACGATAATACCAAATTTAGCCCTTTACCATTAACTGACCAAAGTGCATACAGTATAATTATTACCCCGGTCACTGGATTAAATTGCTATTCTGCACATTATTATACACATTCTCCATTCCATGAGGAAGCATTCCAGCTAGACGCCTTTTACTGGCGTGTACATGCTAATCCAACCACATTGACATTCGTATCCTATCGGGTACCATATTAACACCTGGGTGGAGAGGAACACTGTAGATGAAATGCCTTGCTCAAGGAAATAAGCGTAAGGCTTAAACCCATGCATGACCATTGCATTTCCTGTCAAGTGATAAAATCATTCAACTACAAAACCTCTATCTACAGGTACATACATGTAGGAATGTAAGAAACTATTAAAAACATCATAATGACAATGTACTCATTCATCTATCAGCTTCACATCCATCATTCCACTTAATCAGCTGAGCTGATCAATAGAAAAATGATTTGTGATTCATTAAACCCACCCACTTTAAACACAGTCAACAATTCATCAGACCAAAGAGTTAGAATTTGATCAGACATGCTTGAACCACTTGACTGCTGATACAAACTAATGTCTACACATACAGTACTTGGGTAAAAGATACAGTGAACCTATCATGATTTTGATTCATGGTTCCCAAAGAGGAAATTTATTACCAGTACCAAAAATAACCTCAATATTACATACATGTCAACAATACAATATGATTACAAAGACACCAATCTCCTTCCTTGAAGGTGACCTTGTAGAGTGTGTTTTACTCACCAGTATACAGCTAAGTTTTCACAATTTATGGAGGCAGAGTGTTGGTTTTCTTCATAGTGTTTCTTGGCATGTCCATTCACATACCTGCATATACATACATGTAGAACAAAGAACAAAGTATTGTTAGACGGCAAGATACAGTCACACCCTTTCAAATCATTCAGTATCAATACAGAAGCAACCCTGAGCATTATCTAATCTACATGTACAAATATTCAAATGTATAACTGAACTGAACTGCCTTCTTTGACAACCTTTCTATTCCTCCAATAATTATATTATATTTTCCCAATAGTCAAAGTGGATTTCTAATGATAACCAATTTGATTGTTTATCTATCCATACAACAAGATTCATTTGAATCCCAAGACATTACTGTGTATGTGCCATTTACAGAGCCTGAAGTAATAAAGATATCTCAATATACTGTATAGCTACATGTAGTATAAACCAATCTTTTACACAAATTCACAGATTACAAAAGACACCAACATTTCATGAATTGTTTTTGTGATGATTAAAACAGGGTACTTTGATTAAAAATTGGCAAACGCATTGCTCGTTCCTTTCTGCTTGTTAAAATCATGACCCTAAAACAATATGCTAAAAATCACAAAATAACAGCCCATGCAGTATCATAATTCTATGTTGTATTATAAATCAATGATGATAGAGGATACGACAGTACTTTACCTTCCACATAGGACTACTCCACAAGCTAGACACATCCAGGGATTTTTGTTGGATCGACAAACTGTTAGTAAAAACAGAAAGGTCAGATTATACATTGGAGTTAATGGGATAAAAATCAATGTCAATTAACTTGTGCACTATACAACGTACATGTACATGTATACAGTATATGTATTACCTACATAGAGGTTTTCACCACAATTAAGTTCAAAACATAACAAACAATTTGCTGTAATAAACACATAAAATAAATATTTGATAAAAGAAATCAATGATCAAATTTTCTATTAATTTGATTAAATGATTTATTACCAATTCATCCAACTTCATCGCTAAAAAAAATCCCGGTAAGGCAAAAACACAAAAGTATTGTTTTCCACTCGAGCAATCGATGTTCTGTTCTTGTACACGTACAAACTCTGCAAGTACAACACTACATCCCATTTCCCAGGACAATAACGATATTGTGTACCTACATGTACATGTACACCTGTACACCTGTACATGTACCCTATTTTTCTATGGCCTATTACTCCAAATACAACTTCTTTTTTTTGGGGGGGGGGGGAAGGGGGGAGGGCTAAGCTTTATTTTATACAAATAATAATGATGATGCAAAAGGTTATGTACACTGTATTATTTGGGACTATTTACAGACAAGTACTTCTGTACGAATCACTGCCATATTGTGAACTCAAAGAGTATTTAAACAGCCAGTCAATGAGTCATCAGTCTACAATATGCATGCCAGTACGAATATACAGCATTGCCATACATGTATTAGACTGCACTAAAATAATAGCTAAGTTATGCAAGAATGTTGCATTATCACTTTGCTTCATGAATGTACACTGCAAGTGGGGTAGTGTTGGGACCGCATGCCTGCATCTTACATGGAATACGACGATCAGCATGTGCACCAACGTGCTACATACGGGAAGTGTATCACGAGAATTCGATTCATAGAGAGAGAGAGAGAGAGAGAGAGGGAGAGAGAGGTGAGGTCATTTGCAGTTCAGCAAAGAATGGGGCACATAGAAACAAGATTCTGCAGCAGGATTGCTTTCTCTTTCTCTCTCTCTCTATCTCTCGAGCTCTCCCAGCTACTCTCTTTAGCCCCTGAAATAGGACGTTGTATGACCTTTTTATACCTGATATAATTTATGCCTGGCTGGACTTGAAAGTGAAGGCCCTTGTTTTGTTTTCATTATCTCTTTATTTCATCATACACTTCTGTACATGTACAATGTAATGTTCAACAAGACCATGCATTTATTACAACCAAAGTTACAAACAACTGTAAGTTTAGTTATGAAATTATTAGGCCATTACAACAACAAAAAGTTTAGCGTCCTGCCTTTTCGAAAAATAGGAAGGAGGAGGCCCTTTTTTCCCCTCAAAATGGCCGCTCAGTACATTTTCCCTAACATTGGGGCTATTTTTCAAGATGGTCGCCTGCATTTATGTTTGGGTTTTTTTAATTCAGAAAAAGATCGTTTTAGCAGTTCGTTTTGCCTGTTTTTTTACATTAAAAAAAAAAAGGAAAACAATTTTATTTTTGTTTATAAGAAGAAAAAAGGAGCAAACAGGGTTGCTATACATACAGTGTACATGTTTACATTTTTTTTAATGGCCTTATGGTCTGTAATAACTTGTTATGCTGCATGCATATTGTGTAATGTGTACATGTACATACAGTAGATGGAACAGAGATGGAAAATATTTGCAGGACAAGATCATGTAAATCTCCATGCTTTTGTCATGCAAATTATATTCAAGGTTACAGTTAGGCTTTTCTTGTATATTCATTCAAAAAAATGAATTGTGCATTTTTCTTTAGAGATATTTTGAATGCCTCATAAACCAGCTGTACCCTCCCCTCAGCATTTGGCCTTTAGACTCAATGTTGAGTAATACATTTGTACCTTAGCATGCATGTCACTGATTGTTTACTAATTAAACATTTCCACACAGAAGAAAGGGCATATGAACTCATGGCCTCCACTTGGAACCCCTATGTAAGTGTGTGCCTGGCTGCATTGGACCTTCTTTCTGGACATACTGTAAATGTAGTCTGGAAATGTCATTTAAAACTGCGACTCTCTTGAGCAAATTAGCGGAATATTCCTGGTGTATGGCCTATTTCTCTACATACACCTGTACTATATGTCGTTCATTAAGCATGAATTCACATGTACATGTACAGTGATACATGGTTGAAAATACTATTACACTCATACACTGTACCTCATATACAGTATGCAAATCCTCAATTCAATTAAAAATTGTGCATATAATCTCTCCAATCAATAAACAGTGGAGTATTAGTGAATACACAATTGACTTTTCACAGTGATTACACCTACTGTACATATATATATACATATATTTCACCAGAGCTCCTTTGGTGTTTCCAAAATTAAATAACCGCACACGTGTATTTTATTTCTGTATATTTCATCTCTTAACTTAAAATTTCCCTTGTAAAGTATCATTGTTATGGGTAATTATTTAAATATAAAAGGGGGGGGGGAGGGAATTCTTTGAACAACAACCTATAAATCCTCTGCTTCTGCATTTATTTATGGTGCAAATCACAATACTAATATTAAATCTTTTGGGAAGCATAAATAAAAAATATGGTAAGTAATCATGCCAAATATCTGCACCAGGCTGAGAGAGCTGAGAGCACTGCTACCAGATAACCTCTCAATGCCCTGTGCCTTTCTAAAGGTCACATGCAGCAGCGTATCTAGTCTCTTTTCCATACCCTAAAACTTATCAAATTCTGACTTCTGGTTAAATACTGATTCTAAATATATATACCATTTATATATATATATACACCTGTATGTACATGTACATGTTCACCAGTAATATACTTTTGATTTGATATTATGTGCATATTTTATTGCAACAATATATAACCTCTAAACAAGCAAGAGATAATGATTTATAATTTATTTTCTGAAATGGACTTTTAGGGATTCGTTTTGAACATGTTCTAATCTCACTAATATGTACACCTACACTGACAGAATGTCGTGTACATTTTATTAGCTCTTTTATTTGTACTATTTAAATTCAATCATTCTATGAGGCATCAGGTATTTCATATTCCACTGTGTAATATAATTTTTTTCTTTCAAAGATCAAATTATGAATATGAAACTAAATTCCTCTGATAAGTCATTCAGACTGCCAATCCAAGCCTTTACAGTTCAAGTTCTGAATGTATTTCCCCCGCTGTATGCTTTAAAGTCAACGACATTTAAATTTACAAATTATTTACACACACAAGTAGATAAGATTGTTCAGTTAAATGCATGCAAACAGTTTTCAATGATGAATATCTTTGACATACTGAGGTCATGAATCAAATGCTAGACTCAAACTACATGTATGAAAGAAAAGGAAATTCTTCTCCCCAAGAAGTTAATAAATAACATATTCATCACAAAATTCACCCTTGCAATGTGCCTTGAATGCACTGGAATTAGCTTGAAGTCAGAACTACGCAACAAAGGCAACCAGTCGCAATACAAACCCTCCCACACATGAATGTGTAGTCTAAATAAAGAATATCTTCAAAGTCATGACAACAATTTATAGGTAAATTTTCAAAAAGCACTACGAGACCAGAAGCTAAAATGCAAATAAAACCTGTCAAGTAAGTGTTGCTAAGTAATAAATCAAGTTATAAAGCATAAAATCAAAACTGTAGTCACCTAACTAAAGAAGTACTCCCAGACTGTTGCCCCCAAAAGTTTAATGAAGTCTGCAAATACAGACTATACTGCGTAATGCATGCATCAGCTGATCACAAATGTAAGGCAAGCCTGCCTTGAGTTGACAATGCACACTCACATTCTTACACTTTCAATTTGAAGGCGAATACAAATAATAACTTTCTATTGTGACTATTAAAATTGTTTTTCTTCTCATGATAGGTCAAAATATATTACAGGTATTCTTTAGAGTAATGCAAAGGTTCATTTATTAAATTCATATTTAGTAAAAGTACTGCCATGTACATTACAAGTAAATTTAAGAAAATGCATCCCATGTACAAAAATTAAACAATGATTTTATTGACTGCTTACGGTAAACTTAAAGACATGTGCATAAAAATGTATTGAGGACAAGTACACCAAATTTAAAAACAAGCTTTGTTTGAAGGGAGTCTCCAAGCTCTGCATTTCCATGTAAACCCATACATGTTCGTGTGCATGTAAATGTACTTCCCTTGCTTGCACAGGCCCAGGTACACACAAGCCTGCACAATGCAATCCTGATTCTGCAGGAAGTTTATTGTGCAAAATGTTTGTTTTTGATGTTCAAGATCTAAAATGACTCTTAGCAAAATATTTCAAATCAAGTAGATCAATTACATGAACAACTGTTCCATTCGAAAAATCCCCCTTCTCAATATCTGCTGTATCTTCTTCGTTATTCTCTCTAGCAAACAGAAATGGGAATCAACTTAATGAACTTTGCTAAGAATTCAGAGACATTGCTACAACTGAATTCTACATTACTAATAATCAATTTAGAGTTTAGACGTGACATAATTACAGAATTCAGTAGCAAAAGAATTTTCTTCTTGGTACTTGGTACTTGGTTGTTGTTCCTCCAAAAAATTCCTAGTGGAATTTAAACTGGAGGTCATGGTGGCAGAGAGTGGACATATTTCGGAAGGAGTGCTACTTTAAACTTTGCTGAGTCAGTCAGGGATACTAAGGACGGATCAAGATTATTCCATGCTCCGGTTGTGCGAGGAAAGAATGAGTTCTTGTATACATCCAATCTGGCTAATGGTATTTCGAACTGGCTTGAGTGCCCGCGTCTGCTACGATCTGGTTTAGGTTTAATGTGGGTTCGGGCATCTATGTCCTGCTGGCCATGTAACATTTTGTGGAAACAGCTTAGACGGTGAACATTATAATTGTATGCCTAATAATTACATATGTTATATCAAGTGTCAATTACTTTGTTTTATTTGTTTAATATTGAATAGATCTTCTACAGCCTCTTGGTGCCAATTGGTTCTAATGATGGGCAATATGTTCAGTTACCTTTTTGTCCAGTATTTTTCTCAAAAAAACGTCTCTATTTTCAGTAACATCCATAGAAACAAGTTTTTAAATTACATGTTGTTAACCATGAACTCATATGGAGAGTTAAGTCAGTTTTACAAGACAATATCATGATCTCTGGCAAAGGCAGAGGGAGAAAAAGAAGACTGCAAATATTGTGGCAGAATTTTCCCTCCTTATCTAATTTCTTGTCCGAAAGCACCAACTGCAGTTCTCCAAACCATGCAAACTGGGGGGAGGCCAAGCAAAGAAGAAGATCTAGATCTATGGCTAAAGCCAGGTTTAGGATTGAGCTCTGAAAATGTCATTTGTTGTTTAGATCTATATCTTTATTTTTAATAGCATTTTTTTTTTTAATGAAAGGAGACACCACACATAAACAAGGCAGTAGTGCAGTGGGTACAAGCAAGGTCAGCTCAGGGACAAGGACAAATGAGTTAAATTTCATTGTGACCTCATCTTTGATTAGGAACACTTTACAAAAATTTACTCAGACTGGTCCAGATATCCTTTGTTTTTCTCACCTGCACATACCCACGACGAAGTGGATTCGCCGTGTGACTTCTTTATTATTTGACAAACTTCTTGTTTGACATTCTGTGACAAGTGAGGACACTCCATCTGCCAGCCGAGTATTTAAAAGAGAATGTTTTGTTACAGGTGGTGGAGGCCGACTCGCGCTCGTACACCTTTCAGTTTCCCAGGTGTTAATCCCTTAAATTCCAGAATAATTCCGTAAGCGTTGACGTCCCTGATGATGAGTGATAGACCTTTATTTACATCCGTTTGCAAAGCCTAAATTACCAGACGAACGCGAAACGAGGCGTACTGGGCAACTTGGCCGTACAGCGGCCGATCTCCGTTGTCTACACTGCGGTCTTTCACCTGGAGGTGAATGAATACAGCAGTGTGTTCGGTAAAAAATCGTGCGTAGCTAAATCAAATGTTGAAACGACGCTACGAAACAAACAAATAACCTAAGAATGTGGAATATCAGCTTTCAGAAATCTCTCGAGTTGATCTGCTCTATCTCAGAATAAAACGCATGTCTACACTGTTCTTCTCAATAGTTCACACTACTTGATTAAAACAAAATACGGTTATTTACGAATTATACCGGCGTTGATTTTTCGGGTTCACTTCCACGATGCACTGGCTTCTCCTTAGTAGAATTTGTCATAATATGCATTACGCATGCGCATTAGTCAGCCTCGCCCTGTCGACGCTCCATGAAACGAAATATGCCATTGGTCAATAGGTATCGGTCAAGGGGCGCCGGAGGCGGCTACGCGCTGCATGCAAATACGATGAATACGCGCTTCTTCACCCGCTTATAAAATACCATTGGCATTTTGGTTCACTTCGTCTTCGCTAAAGTAATTGTTTTTTCTATTTTGTTGTGAATGAGAAATCAGTACAGCTATGAGTGCATGGGGGTACCGACCCTGTACGTACTTTGAAAAACAGTTCAGTCAAACCTGCCTATTGAGGGCCACCAAAGGGAAACAGGGAAAGTTGCCACTTTAGAAAGGTTGCCTTTCTAGACAGGTTACTTTTCATTCTCGAGGGAGACAAGATCATGCATTATCAGTTTTGTTTCTCATAATCATTCAAGATACATGAGCAACGACTGAAAATGTATATTCCCTAGGTTAGTTGTGTTTGTAATGAGGTTTTTTTAGTTTTTACAGATGGGCATCAATCAGATATATGAGTGTTTACGCCTGGGAACAAACCGTTAACGGCATCATCCGAAAAGCGTTAAAAAATTGATACCTCTAAAAGCAATGCACAACTGCATTTGGTTCCCCCTTGAATTTTTTCACTGAACAACAGAATATTTTGCTTAGTTTTTAATCAAAACAAAAGCATTTTTTAGTACTCGAAAAATTGAACTTTTTACTGTGCAGCTGTTTTGTGACGTCATAAAGAGCCATGAGTTGTGAACATACAATAATTGGTTGTACATCGCATTGTGACGTCATAAAGGGCTTTAAATAGAACATTGAGCGCGCGCACACAACTGTCTACTGTGACGTCACAATGATTTACGCGTATGCAGCTATAACTAGGTCACGTTATGTTGTCATTTTTGTTGTTGATCTGTGAAACCACATTATGACGTCATAATGGGTTCACGAGTTGTTCGCCATTTATTTTTCGCAGTAGTTGCCACATTAAAAGGAAATACATTATGATGTAATGCGATTCGTGTATATGACGTCATTCCATTAACAACTCGACTAACGCTAATGGGTGGTATTCCGGTAGCGCGTACTAAGTTAGCGCGTGCTTAGTTAGTTCACACTTTTATGGAGTGCCTGTTGTGAACTAATTTACCCTGAACAGATTATTTTAATCCTTCAATGAAAAGTGTCCAAAAAATTAATTTTGCACTGAAATAGGAAGAAAAAGATAATATGAGTATACACTAAATTTCAACAAAGTCCTTGGTAGATTATCTTTGTCATGAATATTGAAGGAGGAAGATCAAACCTAGCATTCCATAGAAGTGCGAACTAAAATTCTTGTTTAGTCTGGACTTAGTCCCGGCTTAACTTAAGAGAATACCACCCCATATCTCTAACAAGCCGTTCTCGGGGGGGGGGGATGGGGAAGGGATGTCACATCATCGAGTTCCTCAAAGATCAAACTTTTCGGACTTTTCATATGTGCACATTTTTATTAATAGGGGTACAGGCTTGTCACACGAGATTTCGAGAAATCAATATTTTAGACCATGTTAACACAAACAATCGTGATTATGTGACCTTTTCTCGCTTTACGTTTTTTGGGGTACAATTTCAAATGTTGACTGTCGCGTAAATGCTACTCCAACATATACACTGAATTCATCATTCTATTCAAAAGAGAAAAGTTTATTACGATCAAAATGATGACCACTGGTTATCAAATTCAGAATTTAAATTCAACATCTTATTGATTATAATCCAAACAAATGATTTAAGCATATTTTTTCTTTTTGACTGATTGCCCTCCCAGCCCCTGAGACCCCCCCCCCCCCAAAAAAAAAAAAAAAACTTGATTCATTATTCGTATGAATGGTAGGCCTGAAACCAATTTCAAATCGCCTCTTTTGTCTAAATCATTTGATATTAAATAGTCCCATTCACGGTGTATCTGTTTTGCACGATTTTAAAAATACTTACAAAGTATATATATATACATATCATCGTAGAAACGTGCAATCTATTACAATAGCCATTAAATGGACAGTATCATCTTATGCAATCAACTAAATAATAAATCTTTCTATTACCAGATGCATGGTTGGAGAAAGAACATTGCCGTATGGGCAAAGTCGGAGGAAGGGCCAGAGCTGTCGTCTATAAAAGAATTAAAAAAACATATCAAATTTGTCACTAGTGACACTCACCTTTAAAACATTTTAGTGTAATGTTATCATTAAAATAAATGGGAAAGGATTGTATAAGTTACACAGAAGTACTGTCCGATAGTGAGATGACGGTTGCCCGAATACTGGCGGCCTGCATGTAACAATTTCTATTCGTGGGTGTAGCCCCTAGCCTCATGGGGGGGGGGGGTAGTAGTAAATAACCTCCTGTTGACGATCACTACTACCAAGTGTACATTTTCACTATTGAAGATACAAATTACCTTCTTACTATGGAACCGTCCTTTTAGTACTAACAGGTGCCCCTCGAGACTAACACGATTATTGCCATAAATATTCACGACCAAACACTGATACAGCCCCCTTTCAAATAGGACATTTTCGTAATGTAACCAAATTTGAATAACTTTGGTTGCATTTTTATGCATATGCCTTTGTGAAGCGCCTCGAAACAAATGATTTCATTCACCTGTTTACGAATAAGTGTATATTATTACTAGTCGGAATGCAAATATCATACATTAGTTGTTAGGACAAACATTACCGCTTGCCCTACCTAACAATACGTAATATGCGCAATTTGCATTCTGACTTTTGAAATACAATTATTCGTATCGAGGCACTTTAAGGGGAAGTCCACCCAAATGCTAAGTTTGTTTTAATTCAAAGAGAAAATGTGAAGAACAGATCGGTGACGTTTGAGAAAAATCGGATAATAAATATATAATATTTTTTTAATCCATAAATTTTCATGAAATACTTCAAATCTGTAAGTCTAATCGGCAACGAGGTCTATAAATATGATGCCAGTCCCTCATATTTTATCCTTTGTCGAATGCAAGAAATGTAATTAAATTCCATTTTGATCAAAAGATTATTTTTTTCTTATTTGTTGTCCGATTTTTCTCACACTTTCACCGAATTGGTTTTCTAATTATTCTGCTTCTATTAAAACTAATTTAATATTAAGGTGGACTTCCCCCTTTAAGCTCATTTATGTTTACATTACAAAAATGGCCTATTTCCATTATATTAAAAGGAGAACTCACCCGAAAGAATAAGTGTAGGTATTCTGAAGAACGAAATGAATTCCTGCCTTTTGATATACAACTAATCTTACGAACGTGTACAAGAGATATATAAATGAAAATTTCTCGCCATGATGTAATGTCTTTTAGCATGACACGGGCGCAGCCATTTTCTTGAAAATGTGACGTACCACGCGGAGTTGTACATGTATCATGCACCAAGCTTTAATTGGATAGACTTTTTAATTCAATAAAAACAAATTTTACTTTTCAATGAGGAATAATCATAGCCAAGGAGGTAAAAATTACATTTGGTGAAAAATATGTAATATAGTAACAATTGGGGGGGGGGGGGTAGTTCTCCTTTAAATACAAATGCCCTAACTATGAGAAAAGTCCTTTTGGTACTAAAAGGCGCCCCTCCACAGCCACCACTGATACATTCCCCTTTCACATTTTCAAATGATCCTATGAATAATCACAGAACTGTGCCCTATATTGTGATCATCTAAATCACGCAACAGTGCATTTTTTTTTCTGTTTAAAGTTCATTTCTTAGCCTTAGGGGAATTTCAGGGTACTACAAAACGCATTATCAGTGCACTTTCTTTGAATGGAAAATAAACACATCAGTAGTATCCATGGTGTCAACAACAACAACAACAACGACAATAACTGCTCAGCTCGCTACGTCGCATTTGAATAATCACAGAGCTGTGCTTTTACTACAAGTGATCATCTAAATCATGCAACAGTGCATTTTATCTCCTTTTTCTGTTTAAAATTCATTTCTTAGCCTTAGAGGAATTTCAGGGTACTACAAGACGCATTATCAGTGCACTTTCTTTGAATAGAAAATAAATAAATCAATGGTATCAATGGCGTCAACAACAACAAAACAACAATAAGTGCTCAGCTCGCTATGTCGCATTCGTACCAGGTCCTATACAAATCATCTCAAAATCAAAAGAGTACGAGACTGAATATTTTTGCAAAAATCTTTCACAATGAATAAATATCAAATATGCTCGCTTGGTTTGGGCCCAACTATGATTCATGTCATGTCAGATGCTACAACAACTGGAATTTTTACTTATGATATATGAATCGAAACAAGTAAATACTATTTCTTTACCACTATTAGGAACTTGCAAAAAGGGAAAACGTAATAAACATAAACCTTTTGGGGCCTGGCAAAATGTTTAACTTTCATCAAATCCTTTTCAGAACAATTCTTCATAAGCAAAAATGACGACTCTTGTTGTTGTTACCTAAAATATAAAATTAATAATGGTTAAGTCATATTTCAAACGGTATTTCAAATAGAACATCTAGGAGTGGTAGCTGAGGGCGCCTGCAGCAGCCTAACAATAAAAGCTAATGATAACAAACCACATCGAGGATAGCACTTTTACAGATGACCCCCAAACGTGGAGAAGTCCCACTTTGTGTGTTTTAGAACAATCACTGCCAAAGTGATGAAAGTGCTTCAAGAATACCGTTTGTTTTCCCTGTTGGGAAGAATACTTCCACCTGTGTACCAGGTACCACCGGTGCATAAATGAATAATGATTACATAACATTCATCCAGCAATCGCCTGGATGGGTTATAAAGTTTTGTACAAATAACCTTTATCTGCTCATGCGCAGATTGCATCTCCGAAGCCGTTTATATCAACAGCACGGGAAATCTAAATTACACACAATCGCAAAGGCTTTCAAAAAATCAAGCAAAGGCATTTTCAATAGCCCTGTGCGTCACCTTTTAAAATGTGCGAGCATGTTAAAATTACAATTATGTAATCCGAGAATGATGTCTACGGGCAATCCAATGCCTTTTTTTAAAAATAAAAATGTTGATTTCTTAAAAGGCTCTGCTATTGTCCTGGAGTTGGGGTTTGGATTTGTGTTTCAGAACTTATTAGTGGGTGAGGGGCGGGAGAGGAAATATGTCCTTCCCAAGAAAAAAGTAGAACGGGTGGGCCTATATTATAGAATGTTTTAAAAAAAATATGAAAGCCGATTTGAGAAGGAATAACACATTCAGATTTTAAAGAATCTGAGGAATTTCTACAGCGATATTTTTGTGCTCGGATTTGAGTGATGTTTAAATATATATCATATTTAAATCTACTTTAGAAAGAACCTTCCCTCTAATTTCTCATCGTTTGTTGTTGTTGTTGTTGTTTTTTGTTTTTTTTGGGGGGGCGGGGCATTCCAGGGGGCTCGCCTCTCAGGGACTGTGGCGTAATGAGCAAAAACGTTCGGGGAGCAGAAGAAAAATCTGCATCACCTCCACTCTTATAGGCCCCGCGGAACATTTATCAAAGTGGAGGATTAACGATCATGTAAAGCGTAGCGAGCGAAGCGAATTGGCGTAAATTGCGTAAATTGGCGTGGGGTCCAGGGGCTGAGCACCATTAAGCTCAGGGGTTTTAGGTATGTGATAACGGTCAGATGAGCATCCAGGGGCCCGCCTTAGGGCCTTTGGTGGGGTCCAAGGGACAGAGCCCCCGGAAGCTCAGGGGTTTTATGTATTTAATAACGGTCAGATGAGCATCAAGGGGCCCATCTTAGTGCCCTTGGTGGGGTCCAGGGGATAGAGCCCCCGGAAGCTCAGGGGTTTTATGTATTTAATTGCGGTCAGATGAGCATTCAGGGGCTATGCCTCCGTGGTGGATCCAGGGAGGGGCCCCCGGGCCCCCTCAAACATTAAAATATAACAAATATAAAGTGGTATCATATTAAATAAATAGAAATAGAAACATAAGGTGGTGTTGTGGCTTGAATCTCATTACACGGGTGGATGGTTTGGATCCCAGCCCTGAACTAACGTATTTTGGCAAAGCATTAATCTACGTTTGCCACTCTCCACCCAGGTGTGAATGGGTACGTGGCATTAGTGAGGCAATGATCATTGCAGGGCCCCTCGGGAAGAAAAGCATTGGTGCTGTATGAGGAGGCTTCCCTGGGTAGACACAATCCTTAGTATTATCATATTTATTAACAAAAATCATAACAACGTAGTGATTTTCACTATGATACATTCCAGCTTTTTGGTGTATATTACTTGCATAGAGAGATATAAAACTGGATATAGCCAATCCAGATGCTTGGTTACAGTTCAGTTGCCCTTTGCACAACGGGAGATGTGAGCCACATAAACAATCTGACTCTATCGCCGACCCCTTCCCCAGGAAAAGACAGTTTGAAGAAAAAAATTGTATTTTAAAAAAAAGAAACCTTTTTTATTTTTGTATCCTGCTAGGAATTGCCATCCCATTTTTGGAGCATGTATAATAGGAAATTCTGTAATTCCTCGCATCCGATCCAATATTATAATACTTATTACAATCACTGAAAATATATAAGCTCGTTTCTTACACATGTAGGTTGAAGCCTTGAAGGCAAGCACTTTGTTAAATATACCCTGACTGTTCATATTCCAGTACATGTACATACATGTTCCTTTTTTGATTTAGATAAACCCATATTTCGACAAAGTTTATGAATTTTATGACAGATTATCTTGAAACATAATCCTGAATATTATTCGTATCGCGATGGGGCTCCGCGCTCTCTCGTATTGTAGCGGTAATATGCTCGGAGAACGTATATGTTGTAACGCCATCAGTGATTGGCTGATTGGCGCGACCCGCTGTAAATAACCCGCTGGATGACAACATTTATTTCGGAACGAAAATCTGGCTGTGCAAGCCAGGCAAAACCAATGTCGAAAATGTCTAGCCCACGGAAATTTAGTGAAAAGATTGCCCTGCACAATCAAAAGCAGGCGGAGGAAACAGCTGCCTTTGAGCAGATTATGAAAGAAGTATCAATAGTTTCTAGGGTAAGTGATATTACCGATTTGTTAGTGCCTACATCTTCGTTTGCAGTGTTTTCCGTGTGTTGGGCATACGGCGTTCCCATACATGCCTGTGTAATGCATCTATATATTCCACTGGTAAACTATATATAATGTCTCTCAATGGACGTGCTGTATATGATGCTCGTGTATGCAAATACGCACACACGACTCAAATGCAATGCTAGTATATATTGAGAGCATGTGTGTTCAATGATATATGATCTGTATGAAGACATATAGATGAGTTTGATGATGTTATTAAAGTAATGTTCATCATGTCTCTCTGTCTCTCTTTCAGCATCCACACAGTGTTAGCCCCCATCACCACCTGCAGCTATCTCCTGCACTGGGGACATATCGCGGAGGATCATTACCAAATGTTAATCAATTAGGAAACAGTTCTATAGATTTACAGGTGAGTTATTTTATACACATGAGATCCTAACGTGATGACCCAAATACAAAGTGAACGTTATTATCGTGGACTCGCATTAATTAATACTGTGTATGTCAATATATTAGGAAACAGTTCTAATGCAACTGCACAGGTCCTAATGTGACAGGTAAAATATTTTACAGACAGTCATAGATAGATGATATATGATGACACAGATACACAAAGACTGTTTCTGATTTTGATATATTATACACACTTCTCACGCATCTCGTTTATCACACATAAATGTGACATAAACATTGAAATAGATGTACAGTGTACATGTGTACTTTACACGTCATGATGATGAAATAATCATCTGTTTTAAATTGTAATATCCTGTAAGAAGTGTTCCTACAGTTCATCAGATATAAGTTGGAATAATCTGTTCATGTAAATCTCTAAATATGTTCAGAGCTCTTATATTTCTATAAAGAAATTAATTCAACAACTTTTAGAGCAGCTGTAACAAAACGGAACTGTTATGGAAGAGCAATGAACAATCTAGCATGGATCACACACAAGGAATGAGAAGCAGCACTTCATACTTTTCTTTCACCTTCCGGAGCCCTTCAATCAAACTGACCAGCATTGTCATTTTGTAAAACTAGTAATTAGAAATAATGATCAGTTTAGGACTTTCTGATATATGTCTTTGATTGAATTCCAAATACAATCATTACACACTCCACTTGTACAAAAATACATACATGTAATTTTCATACAGTCATCTATGATGACAATTTCCATTATTTCACAAAATAATCTTTATCCTTTAGATTAGATGCAAGGTACATGTCCACAAGCTGTAGGGCAACAACTACTTTTGGAACTTACTGACTCATCCTACCCCACATAGTTGAAACTTCAGTATTTCATGAATGGCCTGGAACAAATATTTACACTAACCTTTCAAGAAAATTAAAAAGTGCATTTCAGTAATAACTGTAAAATTTGATAAAATTCATGACTACTAAAATGGATAGCAAGAAAATCAAAATCAAAAAATTTCTATTCCAATTTGACAAGTAGGTTCTAAGTTCTTAACAACAACAAACTAAACTATAGAAATTGCAATTCATGATGGTAATTTTCTGGCAAGAAACTTGTTATCAATGAAGGTTCTTATAGATTCTGCAGTAGATCAAGGAAAGGACCAAATAATATTTCAAACATAATATGCAAATGACAGTTGGTTCATAAATTCATATCCAGTTTGCTATCTAAACATTAGTCATGTAAGGAGCATATAAGTTGAAAAATGATTACCATCACTGGGTCACAAAAATATCATTAGAAATTCATTAATATTTAGTGGCAAGTGTTGTTACTATATTTACATGGAAATAACACAATGTTATTGTTTATTACAGTCTTAATTCTTAATTTTCTAGCTGTATCATAAATTTAAAAGGAAATCGTCCCAACCTAACTAATAGTAGAAGTAAAGAGAATAAAGAAATAGGTGCCATTTATACCATTGTAGTCTGAAAATATCATGGACTTTGTATTTTCAATAGTTTTAATCATTTATTTACAGTTTGCAGTAATATTGGCTATATATCAATAAACCTATACTTAATCCACCATTTTCTCTTTAATCATTTTCTCCATCCAGCAAGCATTGCATAGTTTAGAGGATATAAAACATGCAACAGGACGAGGAGTACAAGACCGAGTCTACAGAACACAACGGCCGGGGGCCCATAGAGGGAGACATATATCCTTTTCAGATTTCATATTTAAAGTCGTGTTTTTATTTCTAAACTTGTTGATTGGTTAACAGTTGAGATTGAATGTTTTGTATTATGATGTATTGTGTGTTGTTTGTGTATTGTCTTTCCTCGGTTGTCTCTTGTTTTTCAAGTACAACTCATACTAGGAGGTTGCAAGGAAAGTTTCTTCTTTCCTACCTTTAACTGAATTTGCTGTATAAATCATGAAATAGCTTGTCACCTTGTCGTGACACAGTGTCATTTGTAGAAAGACAGCGCCTGATTTATAATAACGTGAATTTATGAGCATATCCAAAAACTTTAGATCAAGGTATAGGTCTGCAGATTAGAGGCATAACTGCATCAGGATAGATAGTCCATGTGGCTGCCTGGTGAAACTTTCTAAAATTATAATCAACAGCATAAAGATTTTTTGCAAAATGTTTTTGTTCTTCTTCTAGAAAATGCACTTTTAATACAAAATGATAGAATCTCAACAAGATAAGAGAAGGCTTCAATGTAGCATGGCTAACTTCATCCCTACAACATTTTAATATTTGTTTAGGGTTATAATATCATATTTGATTCTTCCATAGGTAAGGACATTCCCAAAATGCAGTAAGTCAGCAACATTTTAAAATGTACTTTTGATTGCATATCATCAAGGATCAAAGTGTATACTATCCTTACCATGGTGTATATTTTTTCTTTATATATACCTTTACATGTATGATATATATAACAGCTATTCTACATAGTACTTCCAGCCATTGTAAACCTTAAAATCTTTAAAATGTATACAAAGTGGCTTCATAAAATAGCTTATGTCTAGGATCAATAAATGTATGCCTAAACGCCCACATGCTGTCCACACTGGTTTCCTTTTACAAGATTTCTCCTGGTACTACCGCATTAATGTGTGGTGATTTTAAACCACTTTTTGATTATTTCAACTAATGTCTACTCAATATCCAGTATTTTTGTGAATATGAACAATATTATGTTCAATTTCAATTCATTAAAGTGTCAGAAAAGATGTTTCAAAGAACTATGTTAAAATTCAGCTATCACTGGCTTTGCTGTCCTAGCTGTTGTGACACAGTCCACTCACCATCATTTGCAGATAATTTCATTTTTAATATTTCCATTTTCCTAAGCTATTTAAGATACCCAAATTTTGACATTTTATCAGTTTTGGACTGACAAAACTGTCAATTTATAATTATGAAATAATGCTTGGATAAAGAAAAATGATATGGCAACAAATAAAAGCCATTAAACATCTTCTGATGTAAATGTGAACCTTGAAACAATAGAAGGAAAAAATCAAGGTTTCATTAAGAATGTGAAGGTTTGTTTTTTCCATTTTGTTCTCTAAGCTCTTCTGAGGAGAAATCATATATTTTCAGTTATTCCTAAAAAAACAACATAAACACTGTAGAACAATAACTCAAGCATATTTTTTTCTAGAAAATGCACTTTTAATTATATCAATACAATGGAATCTCAACAAGATATGGAAAGGCTCCAATGAAGCATGGCTAGATTCATCCCCTGCAGATTTGTATACCCATGGTTATAATGTCTTATTCGATACTTTCATAGGCAAGAACTTCAGAAATAAAGCAGAAAGTCAGTAACATTTAAAAAACATTTAAACAATAAAAACAATAGAAGAAGGAAAACAAAATGAAGATTGATGAAGGATGTGTGTGTGTTCCAGCTTATTTTCTAAGCACTTCTCAGGTAAAGGCTGTTGACTTTTGAAATAGTTGTTGTTGCTGAATACATGGTGAAGTCTTTAGACAAGGCTATAACCCTCATAGTTCTCATACATGCTTAAGCCTTATTCACATGCTGTGGTAAACAGTTAAACACCTAAAAAGTAAATACTGCCATAGGAAAATGAAATAATTTTATTTTCTAAATGAAGTAAAGAAATAAATAAAGCTGTGCGCAAAAACAATGCATACTTACTGATCTTTTAGGGACAAGAAACGGATTTGTGACATGTGCTATGCTAATGTAATTTCAGTTTGCCACTGCAGTTTATTGCCTCGTGTGGACACGGCTCTGTGCATCTCTCTTTTCTTGCCTTGGGAATTCCTACCGGTCTTATTTCCTGTAGTCATCTCCTGCATAAGTACATTGACCCCCTTCCTGGCGAGGGGAGGGAGGAAGGGACCGGGGAGGGGGAGGGGAGGAGAGGGGGTAGTGGTATATGACTCATTTCTCACCTCGGCTCGGACCCACCTTTCCACCTCCTTATTGTTAGCCAGAGATATTGATTCTGTGCACACTAATTAACAGGTCATCGGCTGAGAGCCAGAAGGGCGTTAGCTCGTATGCCGTCACATAGAGTTAAGGCCCTTCTGGCTCTTGATAGATGAGTTGTGTGTGGATGAACCTGTCATTACTTGTAGCATTGGTTTTCCTACATGTACTGTACATAATGAATAAACATATAGGTGACATTGGAACAAACAGATAGGGACTGAAGACGATCAGCAAATTTGGTATTGTTTGACAAAAGAGAGAGAAGGGGATCAATTATACTTTAGGAAACTAGGGAGAATGACTTGAACAGGAAAATTAAAAACAATTGAAAGAATGATTGTATTTGGAAAGAAAAGAAAAAGGGGATATAATGTAAGATCCGATTAGGAGTATCAATCCACTTTCAAGATCGGGTCGGGGGGGGGGGGGGGAGTGGGGGTGGATGCAAATTGCAAACTTCTTGATCAGAAGCATCCCCCCTTTTATTTGAGAGGTAGCTGACCCTGTGGACCCCAGTATCTGTACCCAAGGAACAAGAAATGACAGTAAATCTCCTATACCAGTATACAAATATATACTGCCATGAGAGGCTCTGGTTAAAACTATATGGGCCCAAGGTGACTGCAATAGTGCTATTTTGCTGAGGCGCGCAGCACGAAAGCAAAATGGCACTATTGCAGTAACTGAGGGACCATATAGTTTTAATTTAATCCAGAGACTCAAATAAAGACAGTATATATTTGTTTTATATACTTCATTTATATATCCATTGTTCATTGATTGGTTAAAAGATTTTGCTGTAAAAATCTGAATTCCAAGTTGGATTCAAATTTCAACAAACAGTTTTATAACTGCAACATACCTACCACCCCTGCTCCTTCACAAGATCACACAAACATGCGCGCGTGTGTGCGTGCACACTACTTACATATAACATGTCTGCGCGTAGGGTCAAATCACGCGGCCGACATTGCCTAGCCGTAAATAGTCTTTTTAGTTGAGGTACTATGTACGTCTCAGGAAAATAGTATGTTTATTTTTTATCATGTGACACACTTTTAACCAATCACTGAACAAGAATACATGTATATGAATGATGTAGTTATGCATACCTGGCGAAAATACTCGTCCATTATTATATTACAATGGCGTCCTGTTTTCCTATTTTTTTTTTTTTGGGGGGGGGGGTGGGTTACAATACATTGTACGTATTGCTTCTGCTATACATGTATATGAGAAGGAGGTGAAATGAAATATCTTGTGTTTAAATGTGTCTAGGCATACCGTAGAACATTTTATAATCAACCTTTTTCTTAATGCTGTATCACCATGGACTCTCAAAGTAATGGGGTGGGAGTGGGGGGAGTGACCACACCCTATGAATCTGATTTTGCAATAATAGAGAAGGGACCGAAGTTACAGCAAAATTTATCCTATTCTTTATAATTATGAAAAACCCAACCTTTTTTATTTTTAAGTGGTGTTTTGTCACCATAGAAATATAGAATCCTGCTGTTATTCATCTGTTTTTTGGGAGGAATGAAGGCAAGTGCCCCTTCATGTATGCTGAGTGTGTCTGCGAAGTAATGAGATTGAGGTGAAGTTGCAGTCAAATCTCTCATATTTCAATGTAATTAGGCATACCTGGACTGGGCTGGCTCGCAGGATAGAGACCCAACCTTTCTCTTAATGTTATGTCACCATGGAGTTACACCCCCTCATTGTATGATGAATTAATCAGGTGATTCCGGGGTCATTACCCCTTTCCTGACTCCAAGCCTTATTTATTGATAAAGTTGAGACCTCGTCATGCAGTTGCATCATAAAAGAAGCTCTAGAATTTATTGGGAAAGGATTACAATACAGTGTTATACATTAGAATAAGCATATTATTGTGAGGTTTTTTAATCCTCAGAATTAAACAAACGTCTTAATTCTGCTGAAATAACATAGATCTAGATACATGGGATTACACACATTCACATTGCATGCACGCAAATATGGCATTACAATTTGCTTCAAAGTTTTAAAATATTTCTCATCATATTTGGAATATAGGAGCATTTTAAGAGCATTCCTGTTCAAATTACATTGCTGCTTAAATAATTATATTCTGCCTCAGAGGATCAAAGATTTAGGGAGAAACTGACATAAGATCACAATTTTTTTTCACCTTTACCAGAATGCCTTTAAAACTATTGGTGAGAAAACCATCATGTAATAGCCTTTAAAAAAATGGAATTATGTCTCATAAAAGATGAATTGAGGTTTCCTGTCCAAACTGAATTTTATATAATTTTTATTGGTAAAGTGATGAGCATATGAAATTTGAAAAATTATTCTAAGGTTTCTTGACTAAGGCAAACCTAATTAAAGACTATCCTTTGTTAATTTTTTTATTTATTTATTTTTTATTTTTTAAACAAGCCATTGATAAAATATATTTCTGATTTCAAGTTGATTCTTCATAATTTTCTTTTCTAAAGGGGTGTACCTTTGTTTCTAGGCTAAAATTATCTAACAAGAACTTTTATAAGATGTTATTTTTTCATAAATGGGTCATGCTAACCTAGGAAGGTTCAAGGCTGTATGAAGTTTTATTAGAGTTTTAAAGCAAACAACAATTTTCTTTCATTTCTTTTGTTCAAGTATCACCAAGAGTGGTTGCTTAAGTTACAGCCAAAGTCCATATTCATTAGTAGTCATGACTTAATCAATATTAGATATC